CGCCGATATGCTCGCCCGCTAGAAATAAGGTAGCGGGGTGCCGCAATTTGTTATTTTCTAGATGTAAGTGCAGAAGCAAGGGGCTCAAAAAGGAGGTTGTTTGAAAGACATGACCCGTGGTATTATAATGATCTCCGCTGCCCGATTGGGATTACTGCGATTGACATACACCGCCAGTCTTCTGCCGCTTATGAAGCTTGAGACATTCTAGCAGTCGAAACATTATGTAGAGAGCTCAGTGGACGCCGAACGGAAGAGACGCACATAAAGTCGGGGTTATTACTTTCTACTCAGCAGTAAGTCGGGACAGCTGTAGATACGTAGAACACTGAGTGATTTCTTTCGACGCCCATCCTATGATTTATGTCTCTTGATCAATTGAAATAAGTAAATGAACCGCTGCATTTCCCTGGATCCACCATCAGCTCATCCAAACTCCGCTCTTTTCGCTCTGACAAACGAACTCGTCAACTCGGGTTTTTTGGCATCTTGCTGGCTCTTGCATCCTGAAGAGCTGGGTTTCGCCATATTGGCACCGTATGGCAGCTTCAAATGACGACGGTTTGTTGGACTTGGCAATGAGACGTGGAATTAAGGTGAAACGAACAACGTCAGAGTTGGCGTCGGGCCTCCGCCTCAGACTCTCAGCTCGTGATTGCCTCTTCCAAAGAAGCCCTTTGACAGAGTAGATACATGAGCGGTGGTCGTTCAACCAGGTACTATGGGTTGAACAAAAGTACAAATGTCACGCTTCGACGGAGTGCACTGGAAAGTTGCTTTGGCATGTGGGAAAAACTTGTCGTTATTAATGGTACTCTTGCCCCCCAGAGAGATCACTCCGTCCAACGAAGCTGCCGTCAGCCAAACACATGCACAAGCGAAAGCACAGAAGGACAAGGGATTACAAGAAAAATTGAATTGAAGAGATTTGTTTCAAATTAAGTCCTTGATGAGAACCGGAAAACATTCTCGGGCTAGATGCGTTTGGGATCCTGGTACGCGCATCAGACCCAGCTGCATTTGAGAGGTGGCTGATCAGCCTGAGTCGTCCGATCCCAAGCGTTCTGGGCAAACTTCGGCAGCCACAAACGGCCAACAGTCAGATGAAAGATAAGGACAGTTGGACTGCCTTTCCCCCAGTCGAGGTTTATAAAAGCAGTCTCTCCACTGGCAGGGGCCATACAAGCTACATCGGAGGGGGAGCGTGGGCCTCAGGTCGCATGACTTTCAACGGCTCATGTGCGCGTTATTCGGCGGCCGATGCATGCGGGCAACGCGACTGAGACTCCAGAAAGAATGAGTTGCAAATAAAACCAAAAAAAGAGTTTGTAAAGTTTTAAGAGCTGAGCAATATCAAAGGCAACCAAGCTAAGAGCAGGAGGAGCGTGGCAGACTTGCAGACAATGGCCCCCACGTCCGCGCTATGAAAGCAACGCAGATATGTTCCAATTGCGAAGCGGGCGGCTGACATTTCGGGAAGGCCAGAGTCAAGTAGTGGCCATGCAGCCATTGAATACTGTCAGAGCTAGCTCGGCGGAAACGTCATTATCAGTGTTGTTTGGAATTTCTAATTCGACACCACCTCATGCGCATAAATGCTACCTGCAATGAGCGAGGGCAAGACTTATACGGACCTGAATCAGCAGCGTACGTCCAGAGCCTGCCACAAGTGCTGCTCATGATCCATACTTTGTGAGTGCATGAAAGTTGAAAGTTGAGAATATTAGACTGAATATATAGGATCATACACGCACCAGAGGGGACGGAAAGAAGTGGGCAGTCGTGCATCACGTCGAAGACGCTTACAAGTTTATAATCTGTAGGGTTGTGCAGCATCATCATGAAGGGACTGATCACATGCTCGATTTGGGGACATTTGAGTGCAGAGGTCCTCAGAACCAAACGTGCGTCACGGCTGCCTGTACTGACGATCAGGACGTCACCTCCAAACCAAAAGAAGAGGACTCGATTCGCCCGCGTGTGGTATGGACCCTTAATGGGCAGGCAACTTTCGCATTCTCGACCGAGATGTGAGACAACGGCTAGGCAGAAGCAAACGAGAAATGAGAATTTCCATGGAGCTTGGCGCTTCAAACAAAGGGCTCAAGAATTTGTACGGTACGAGAGGTCACAAAGTCGAGCACAACATTTGTCACAAAGTCGAGCATAACATTACCTAATCTATCCGCGTTGTCTCGCTTGCAATAGCAGCCGTTCTTCACCGCGATTGGAGAAGTCTACTTCAATTCTCGAGCTTTTTCTCAGATCCGCTCAAAAGCTAAGATGGAGAACCTGGGGGCAGCAAGGCCGGGGCGGGCATTATGATGATCGTGCGCAGTGACCGGAAATAAACGGTTCTATCTGAAGCAGAGAGAAACTGGCAAACTTCAGGAAGAAAGTCGATATTTGGAAATGTACGCGCGGGAAGGGCAGAGAAGGAGGTGTAAAAACACAAATCCCGCAGGATTGGCTGCACCCGTAAACGACCAACTCACCTTTAAAATATATCGTGTTATTTCGAACCCTCTGGAAGAGGAACACACGTACTTCGCAAATCACAACTTTTACTATATTGGTCGTGTGAAGCACGGTTGGTAGGCCCCACCAAAATTAAAGGTCAAAGTTGGGCATCATTGCTGAAATTTCTTCTAAGCAAAGTACCGTCAGTCGGCCCGTTATCAGTTTGGCGGAGCGTGACGCAACTAAATGCAATATAGGCGCCTTTACCTTCTGCACAATTTGAAACGGTTGTCCATAAATTGATCGGTTGTCCCAGCCATCTCGAAGCATGCGCCCTACTGTCGGGAACACTTCAATTGCAAACGAGCGAAAGCGGCGTGGCCCAGCTTTGTTGTTGGCGGAATAGGAACGCTGAAGAATCGAATGTCACAAGCGCTCGGAAACAATTGTGTGGTTCCTGCGGCTCCGAATGATTATCCACCGGCGAGAAAGGAAAGGGGAGAACGAACACTGTGCATAGCGGCATTCTTCGCACAAGGTGTGACAAAGAGACAACTGGATAGGCCGGCCGTGCAAGAAGCAATTAGACAACTCGGCATCCAAGCCCTGTCGTGTAGCAAGATCGTCGAGGCAGTGCAGATCAAATTCTCATCACAGAAAATTAAGCGCCCGGCCATCAGCGGACTTATTGAGGTAATTGTGGCCTCGGCGGCCAAAGACTTTACTTAGCTGGGCATCATTAGCAGCAATCATGCACAGGCCAAATCACAAGCACAAACAGGAGGCAAAAGAGGAACAACCAATACCGTTGGTTTCTCTAGGCGCAAAGCACTCGCAATGACAATCCCAAAAAGACTTAGTTTAGCTGGGCATCATTAGAAGCGATGCACATGCCGAGGAATAATCCCAAGAAGAGGAAAGGACCGGTTGGACACAGCTAGTCCTTGATTCCACATGGCGCAAAGGCAATTCGCAGTCACCATCCCGGAGGCAGAAGGGGCGACGAGAGAGCGCATACCAAAGAAGGGTTTATATCAGATTCCCGGTGTTTTGTAGCGTCAGCTAGGTCCGACTAACCAAGACATCTGACCCGATCATGCAGAAGTGCCGGACCGAGCATCATAGCAAGCAAGCTTTCAGTACCATGCATTGGTTTTTACAATCCCAACTCCACAATAGTCGACAAGAATGCATCCCCTTCCGACACCTAGAGCCCGGGCGCTCGACTAGCAACCCGGCGAAAGCGGAGTCGCCACACAAACCGTTGCTCCATCCAGTCTACTTGGTCCCGACTCCCCACAGACTGTTCATGCTTTTGCCTTCAAACCAGATCAAGAAGCCGGAAAGGAACAAAAGCAGAAGCCGGACGCGCGAGATAACTTCACAGCGGCTGTACAATGACACGATGATGCGGATTCTCAACCTTACAAGCAGAAGCAACTGTTGGCATTCGGACATGCGAGAATCGAATCAATCTTTTCCACCGCTGAGGAGGAACCATGCCGAAGCATCAAGCACCAAGATCAGAGAAAGCTCGTTCGCAGTGCAGGGATTTTCGAGACGGTGATGCAGGTTGTCAGGATGGAGAAGCAAGTTCAAGTGGTCGAGCAGACAGGTCGCTCTAACAATGCGTGTCGAAGGTGGCCATCAGGACTCAGACAGAGACAACTGGGCCAGAAGCCTGCTCAGTCGCGCTACACACCCTTGCCAACGTTTCATACCAAGAAAACAGCCGAAGAACAGGAAAGAAAAGCTCGTGCCCAGAAGTATGTTGAAGCGGCGCAGACAATCAATTTAAGTTGGAAGTTGGGGTGAAGTGGGTGAAAAGTGAAGTGGGTTCCATTTTGACGGCTCACGAACAAGTGAAGAGGACGCCTAAGGCCGCAGGGCACGCTATGACGGCGGCAGCGTTGGCAGGTGCAAGCACAACGGCGCAGGTCAAGTGGCGTTCCTGAGGGTGCCTCGTAAGATATAGTCCCCGTCCCTGACCAAATCCGAGCAGAGTCCGGACAGAACAACGACTTTTCCTAATCGTTCGAGCGTCCGTGACAAGGGAAATGAGAAAGTGCACCGGGGTTGTCAATCATGCAAGCTTTCAGACGAGAATCCTGAGAAACCTCGTGCAGCGAAGCTGGGCGGAAATGCATGAACACGTCGCAGAGCTCGAGCACACAGTGCGCACTACATGTCCGGGAATAAGGTCAAAACCCCCCTCACGCAAAACCCAAGTCAACAAGAGCATCAGCCTCCCCGGCAGTAGACTTTTCTGGCTGCCCAGAATCCAAAAGAGAGCATCACTGCTAGAACCTTTCTTGTAGCTGTTGAAGGCATGCCTTTTAATCGTAGTCTTTCAGAGAACCCATATGACAGACCCGGCACCCCACGCTTCTCAAGAAACTTTTTGTTTTAGAACGAGCGCCCCAACCCGTGCAATTTTCGAGTCATGTTTCTAGCCTCAGACACCACCATCGAAATATGTGGATTGCAAAGTCCGCCTGAGAGCTCATGGAAGTACGCGACGTATCAGTCAAGACATACTGGTTCAATGTCCGCATGGCATGAAGAAAGCGGATGAAGGAGGGGTTGAAACAAAAGCTGAGGTCAATTTGACATTTGAGAAATCCTTAAGCGCTTTGCAGTCGTCCAAAGAGCATGGCCATCCTACTGGTTATAGGACGTAGTCTTCCGGGCTGTAGAACTCGGCAATGAGTCGGTAGACGTAGGACGGGTTGTGGCCTCCGCTGCCAAGAAGAGCAAGGCAAGAAGCGTAAGAATACACGATTGGACGCCGCGACTTTTTACCTCTCTACTGCCAGCTTGTATGCAAAACCCTGACGAACACAAATCCTAGATTATCAGCATACTGCACTGCCATTCCCAGGGGAATACTTTCGTGCACTTTGCGTCCAACCGCCGTGCAGCAAATATATGAATGATATTGCACAGGTGCGTTTGACGGGCTGCCCTGCTCGAAATAAAGCTCGGATTGAAAGTTCGTCCAGAGGCAGAGAATGACGGGGATGATTGTTGGCCGTCTCAACTGACGGAACTGCCGGAAAGAGCCATCACCAAGCGCAATAGGACTCTCAAACGGTTATCCGGACAAAAGTCCAACCATTTGCAGGTGGCAACAGGAGCAATCCAGTCCGGGACACATCTGGGCACATGCCACGTGGCAGCAGGACGGCCGCTCACCCGTCCGTGATGAAGAGGCTGACGAGCTCGGGGGGGATGTAGTCGAAGAAGGGGTTGGGGGTGTGAACGCGCCCCGCGGCGCTGTCTAAGCAGTCGGAAATTTCGCCAAAGTCGAGCACGCCGGAAGGGGACTTGAAGTCGTTGAGCAGAGTGTCGGGGTCGTGGGGAAAGACCGGGGACAGCTGCAGACGACCAAAGGTTCAGTTGAGTATTTGGAAGTAGCGCCGCTTTTACGGACTAGTAACGAACAGCTGACAGGGTTGAGCGGGCCGATTACGCCAGGGGTGGCTCATGGAAGCCCTCTGGACACGTGGACTCCGGTCTGCGCAGTATCCGACGGTGAGGTACGAGCCAGACCGCTGCAATGTAAACATAGGCCAAGCACGGACCTGAAAATAAGATGGAAGGAATAGGGGGCGAGGCGTGAGAGGGGCTCTACCTCTTTGTTCCCCACCCGTCTCAGGGACCTCCAACCCGGCAAGAACGAGACCGAACTCATAAGCAGGATTTCCATACCAGGATTGAGCACCGAAACCCAGTGAACCAAGTTTGGGCGACCATGCATCCAGAGAGTTTTCTCACAAAGTCCCTTTTCCGCTGCAATCTTTCCTCTACACCCTCGTCCTTATACCCGAAGTACCTTCCACTTTCCCATTCACTGTCCGCCCACATTCTAAGCTGAACTCAACGTCCAGACCGTTGGTCTCCGACAGAAAAGGCGAGTGCCCATACCTTATGTAGACCGCAGAGGACGACGAACGGGACCGCGTGCCGCTTGGCTGCGAGCGCCGCCATGTGCAGTCCCACAGGGGCCAGCACGCCGCCGTTGGCCATCACCGCATGGGCGCCCACCACAACCTGCAAAAACGAACAAAGACGTGAAGTGCATTGACGACAACTCGGTACACGGCAAAGCGGAGCAGTAGGTCAAGACGTCAGACTGTGACCTGACGTCAGATTTCTTGAAAGATTTGCTTTTGAACGTCATGATGACGCAGTCTCGTGAGTGCAGTGCAGAAAACCCCTTCTTGCAGGTATTGAGATTGCAATCTGGTGAGTGCGATTGAAGCGGAAGCGTTTGCATGAAGGCAGGTGGACCTCAAACCAGATGTGCTGCAATAGACCGACCGGCACACCTTAGTGTGATCCCAAAACGACGGTTAGGAGAGGCTGCTCGGCTCATCACCAAAATGTCCGTTCCTTCGAAACGTTTGATGAAGCGCCTTAATTCAGGCTCCAAAATGGTGTCCAAACCCCCGACAGGTCAGACAGTACGTAACCCGCACACGTCACCCAACGGGTAAAGCTGTTTCAACGGTAGTTCTGTGACGGACTTTGTGATGTCAACGGACACGTACCATGTTGACCCGCGCCATCATGGCAAACACCGCCGCGTCCGTGATCGCCGTCGTTTGCACGCCCAGAACCGCGAGCTCCTTGGCCAGTAGATGCCCGTCGTACCTGCACAAGGAGACGCCAGCAGCTTATCACGAGAAGGTCTGCAGGCCAGCAGCTTGTCACAAATACTTCTGGCAGCAGGAAGCAACGCCGAACGAAAAAACGTTAACGCCCTGTTGAGCGATTTGCCGATTTGCTGTGGGAAGGACCTTGCCGGCTGGTCATCTGGTTCTTAAGCGGCGAAATCGTAGCCCATTTCCGGTTTGCCGTCAAGATTTTCAGAATGTAATCGTGAGCAGTCTAGCCACTTCCCTGCTCTGAGGGACTCCAAGCACCAAGCTTTCCGGCGCTTGTTAACCAGATTGGATAAAGAGATGGGGTCCGGATACGCCGTACGATTGGAAGGAAGACGCGTTGCAGACACTGCAGCATCGACCCTGAACGGTGTCGACAAAACTAGCATGAGATTGTCTTACAAGAAGTAAAAGCAGATTTTGCATACCAGCGTTCCGTTTCGTCAAGCCTTGCTGACCGGAGCGCTTACCTAGGCGCCCCCTCAGCAACCACCGCCTGGAAGGACCGCTTCTTCTTGGCCTCGCTTAGAAAGTTGAGCAGCGTCTTAGATCGGCCCATGGTTAAGATGACCTCGCTGCAACAAAACCCAAAAAAAGTTGGTCAGACCTCGAAGCTTTGCATTTTCAAACTTAAAAGCCGATTAATATGTTGGCAGAGCTGCGAGATCCTGCACGCCAAAGAGAGGGGCGTCAAATCGTGAATCTTAATGGTGCAAAGGGCGTTGATGACTGGCTTTCTGGCCTTAAGGACTAGCCCGCGCATTTCGGGATTAACTTTTGTGTGGGTGACAAAGTTAAGTCAACCAAATCGCAACTGATTGGAATGCTGTTCTGGGCAACTCTCGCACTTGTGGAAGAAGGTTTTAGTTTTTCTAAGTCCAAATTTAAGGTGCAATCGCAAAGGGAGCGAACAGCACTTTGAGCAACTCAACCACGAATGCAGAAAACAGAAAGCCAGACAGCTGAGACTTGTTGTGTGGCTGCCAGGGCTTCGTTCTAATGAAAGAAGAAATCACGTTGGGACCTCATCCCAAACCTGTGAGCATCCTGGCCCGATCCTTTGCATGCAATTGGCGGATAAGTGGCGGTACATACGAGCAGCTATAACGTAGAAGAAGGAGATCAGAAAGCAAGCATCGCTTTCCTTGCTCGTGCTAAAGAAAGGAGGCACCAAGACTAGCTTTTCAGCATTGTGAGCAAATAAGTCGGCAGCAATGAAACCAGTTGGCTCAGGTGGTAAAAGAATGCTGCTCTCTCCCCCCAAAAAACATCATTGCTCTGCTTTTACTGAAGGCAAGCAAGATCAGAGCCTTGCAAACTCATGACCCCTTTGCTTGCTTGCAGCCAGGTGGGCTAAGCAACTCTCGGCGCAAGCCTCATATTCCGGTATTCCACGATGGAATGCCACAAGGCGAAAGCCCTGAACGCACCAACATGGCGGGGCTTCAGAAGGTCAAACGGTTCTATGAGCCGATAGCTCATGTTGCATCGTTGCCCTCCTTGTCAGTGCAAGGACTGCTAAACGTCCAGACTGTGAAGGAAAGAGCCTGCTTGAGGTATAAAGGCAAAAATACTGCGAACAAAAAGCGAGCATCTTTTCAAGTTTGCTCAGGGGGATCTCGCTCGGTTTGGAACATGACTAGAGCGATTATTCGGTTCAACTAGGTGTGGCACGACTCTGCACCAAAGACAAGCAGAGGCTTGAGTGAAATCTCGGTCAAGCAGAAAACATGCAAACGAAAGATGGGTCCAGCCACAACTGGGACAAGACCATGAGAAATGCCTCTTGATGGACAGCGCTGGACTGAGCCCTGCTGTCGCTTTCGAAACGCAAATCAGTCACGGAACGAGCTTATTTGATGCTAGGGCCTCACGGTCAACAGTCGTGTGCAAAATGGAATGGGTTTACATCCCATGCTCGTGAAAACCTTTGCCCGTTCGAGAAAGACAACCAGCGGGTTCTGAAAAGCAAAAACCTGCAAAGCACCAACAGGGAACAGGAGGGCACATTTGAGCAGCAACATGCCTCGAAAATAAACCTGGAAAGATGTTGCGACTTTCCCAATGCAGGTTAGCGGAGGAGTATCCGGTGTGGATCTCATTAGAGAAGTTCTAGGAGCAAAGTACTTAAGCCATTCATGAAAGCTCCTCGCTTACAGAGAAAAGTCCAGATAATCTTCGGACTTAGGGCCTGAAAAGCTTCAGGAGTCTTTTGGCAAGCTTGAGAGGCCGATTCTCAACACCCGCCCCATCCTTGCCCTTGCGTAGAAAATTCCTAGAGACTGAAGAAGGACTCTCGTCAGAGCGGAGGTATGGTTGATCCCTACGTATGTAGGCGTTTGACTTGCCAGCGTATTGATCATGCATCCAAGCTTCTCGACGAAGGGGAATCAACCCGAAGCGAGGGAAACGATTCTAATTCTTCGCACAAAGTCAGCCATCCAAAGGGAATCGACTAGCAGTGGAACATACAGTCAGCCGCTGGGAATTTCTTTCTTTTTCGAATAATCTTGGGATTGCGACGGCACGACTTTTCCCTTGGTATACAAAGAAGACGGCACTGATCGAGCAGGCAAGCTGCTCGAGCCCAATAAGCCCACCCGGTCACAGAGCCAGGGCTAGCGACAGGAAAGCAGACTCAAAGCTGCTACAAGCTTGAAATCCCAAAAAACACAGCAAGAGGATTCTGGTACATGGAAACGAGAAAGAAAGCGCAGGACTGAAACGAAAGGAAGCCAGCTTGCAAAGTGTTGAAGGGGTCGATGTCGATTAGCAAAGCTTGCGGAAGGGTCTTGCGAGAACTTAAGCAACCAGGCCGTTCGCTTGCGAAGAGCGAAAACCGCCAAAGCTCCGGATGCGCAGCGCCAAGGACACGTGCTTTTCCATCGAACACGTGTCAGCTCACTAGACAATCACGTCGCATCTACCGATGAGCTTAAAATGGGATGTTCGTCTTAATCTAGTTGCAGGTTGACTGCCAATGCTTTCAACAGATCAGAAGGAAAAAATTGCTCCTTGAAGCTGACGGTTCATTGCACGGCGAGGCTTCACCCATTATCACTCCGATCGCCGAACTTGCTCTCAACAAACGGAAGATCCTTGCCCCAGAAAAAGACGACGAACATAGAACCGCCATGACAAAACTCAAAGTCGGCTCCCCTTCAGGCACCTCTTGTCTTTGATCGCACCAACAGAGGTGCAGACCAAATTTGACGGGCTCTCCGTTCTGCTCTTGATGTCGACCAGGACAAACAAAACCCACGGTAAAAACCCATCAGGACAAAACATGATCAGGATGAGGATGCACAAAATTTGACGGGCTCCACACTTCGACCTACGATGGGGCCGTGTCCCAGAGAATGCCTCGTCCTTGCCCTTACATAATTACACCAGTTCAAAATAGCCAAGTTGACCACCTTCAGATACGAGCATGAAAGGGCCTAGCTTTGCCGGGTGTGGGTGGAAACAGTGTCGGTCCACAAGGGCCGCGGCGTGAGGCCCCCATGCTGCGAGTTCCACTGAGTTTGGGCGACTCAGAGGCTACGTTTCGACGATATTCTCTGCAGGACCCCTAGGAGACCAGCTCTTGCCATGTTTACCAAAGCGACACAGCACAGTTGCGTCCTCAGCTGAACACAAATAGATTCAATCAACCCTCAGGTTGAACAGTCAAACGGCAGAAAGTATGCCTCTATTGAGAAGCCTCCCCACACTCAAAGAGGTGCTCGGGCTAACCCTTAGAGCAGATTCAAACAGCATGCAAAGGTCTGACAGACTGCTTCAGAAAAGGAAAAGCCACGAGGCACGTAGCTCGCACAAGATATCAAGCAATTGAGCATTCCGATCAGTAGACGTTTATCAAAGAGGTTAAAAAGGATCGAAACGAGCTGGCCGGATTGTCCGACGTTTTTCAAAGGTTTGAGGATGTGCACGCCCAAGCGATAAGCTGAGACGCTGAAGCCAAAGTGTCTTTCTATATCTTCGTTGCAGCGGACAGAGAGGGATGCTCGAGAGGGTTTGAATCAGGAATGGTGCTCGAGCTCGTTGAGATCCTCGCTTGGCTCAGGGGACAGAATGACTGCCTCGTAGAAATGTGTTCCAAACGCGCTCGTTGAGATATGAATAACGTCAGCACGTGCTGATGATAGAGACAGCCTCCCTTTCCAAGGCCCGTGTCAATTTGCTGCCCTCAAGACCAACGCGAGCACACTGCCCTTTGTTGTGCACTAGCGAAACATCAAGCAGAACACGTTGCAAGTCATACATAGTGCCAGCGCACAATCTCGAATGACGCGACGATGCAGATGCGCCCAGAAACATCACCCAGGGAACTAATTGGCAGTTTTCCGCGCCTCAGGGCCGATCATGGTCCACACGACTGCTGATTACATTCTTTAGTGGATCAACACAGAAGAACGGTTTGCCTTTTAGAAGAAAGTATACATTGCGGGGCCTCAGCGCAGCAATCATTGTCTGAGCGTGCTCGTCGGCATCCAGCGAATCTTTGGCCCAACAGATTAAGAATCTCTAAACAGCGTGAGACTCTTGAGTCGAAAGGACCAGGCTTCAAAGGACGCGCGATGCTCAACTCACTTTGTGGGTTGACTGCAAGACTGCAAGACGAAACAAAAAGAGCAAGAAGCAAAAAAGCACTTCCGCAGAAACATGAGACCCGTCTTTACACGACACGGATGGATTTACAGCACTCTAATTGAGAGTGCTATTCTTTCGCTTCAGATTGCAAGTTCTCGGGTGGCTGCTTTGATCCAAATTCCTCGAGAAGACCGCTCGCTGTCACTGCGCTTTCGAACCCGGCGTTAATGATGGAACCTCTTGGTTAAGAGGGAAATCTTCCAAACGGGGTCACAGCAAGTCGCTTCAAAATGACACCAAGGGGAAAACCGTAGGGGACAACGAAGAACAAAAGGTAGATCTCTTGGGGACAGAATGGGCGTGCGCAAAGCTGCGGCCTGCTAATCTGGGGGATCTTATCATTTCTATTGATGACAAGTCCGCGAAACCTAGTTTGAGCTCCAAAGCTTCCTTCGGACACCGTCGCGCCCAACACTTAGCTCCTTTGCACCAGAAAGAATGTTCTCAACAGGAACACACGAGAAGAGCAATCATATTGAAGCACGGCCGTTAAGAAGAGATACAAAAGCAGCTCGACATAACGCTCACTTTTGGTGTATGTGCTCTAGCGCCTGCTCCGCGATGAGCGACGAGAAATTCTCCACCTCCGTGATCAGCTCATTGATGCCCTCGATCACGTTGTGCTTCAGCCGCCAGCTCGCTCGATCCGACTCTGCACAAGCGAAAACTCTCTTCTGCCACAAGAAGAAAATAAGCCCAATTGTCTTTTAATTTCTTCTGCCACAAAAAGAAAATAACCCCATTGTCTTTTTTTGTCTAGGAGCCCCTCTCAAACGTTGAATGGAATTCGTTGTGCTTCAGCCGCCAGCTCGCACGATCCGACTCTGCACAGGGAGAAATCGGCTTTCCGCTTCGGAAAGAAGCTAACATTTCATCTACGGAAGCTCTTTGTCAAATGTTAGTAAGGTCCAGCGCGCATGGTGTGGGACTCTGCGCAAACAAAAACGCCTTTTTGGCTCACAAAAGAAACAATGGCTGGTCGGTTTTTTTTTTGAATTCAAGAGCCCCTTCCTCCGAGGATGTGCAGAGCCCGCTGTGCTGTAGCCGCTAGCTGACGCGTTCCAACTCCGTGGAATAAGAAAGGTGCTTCACCGGAAGAACGAATTGCCAGGGGCAATGAAACGTCAACAAAGCGCTCTTCTCGCGGACGGCGCAAATGAAGGACGGGCATAAAGATTCCAGCCGCCCGCTTGCACGCTCGTGAATTCGAAGGGGATACCAAGCTTGTTGACGCGAGAAGAAATCTTCTTCAAGTGACAAAGGCCTCCGCATTGAGATGACCTCCTTCCAAACTGTACGCTCATCAACCAAGATAGGCTCTCGCCACTGATCACAGCGTGTACCTTTTTTGGCGGATTGCCAGTGTCTTCAAAGAGGTTCGTCAACTTCTGATGGGTCCGGCTGTCCAGAAAGGCCGCTAAGCAAAGATTAGGCCAGGTGATTCAGAAAGAAAAACTGAAACATCAGACGTGTTCGTCTTCCACTTTTGCAAGTTTGGAGATTCGATCCGTCAGCACTAAAGACAAAAGCAGAACCCCTCTCGCATTCCAGAAATACGTGTCGAACCATCATATAAAACTTCTTTCAACTCACTTGGTTTTTCTTGTCGCTTTGACTCCGACTCCGCCACTGACCCCGAATCCGACCCGGGTTTTTGTAGCTGTGGGGTAGGTTCTAGCAGGTTTTTAAGTGCCGGTGCTAGCAGTGCCGTTCTGTTTCCCGTCGACGCCGCAATCCCTCCCCCCGCCGGCCCTGCCCTTTCCACGTCATCTTCTGTGTTGGCCGCAGAATGTGACGCAGAAGTGACGTCCTCTTCCCGGATGATGTGCAGGACTCGTCGGACGATGTTGCCAATGGCCAGCTCTGCAAAAGAATTGGTTTCGGTTTGCAGCTCTTAATAGTGAAACGGGTAGATATCTAAGTTGAACCGTCAATACTATTCTTGCACGTTCTAGTTGCCCGATTTAATTTTGGATTGGGTCGTCGAACAATCTCTGACCAGCTCACATTGCTCGCTTTGGTCATCCACGAGTTTCGACCTGAGTAAGCTTCTCGACAACAAGCTTCAAAGCAAGAATCCTGACGCTCGTGTGTGTGCTCTCACTTTTGTTCAATTGAGAGTGGGGTTTAAAGTGGGTCTGCCGAAATCCTGAGAGAAGTACATTGACGCAACGAATGTGCGGACCCGCTTGGCGCGCGGTGGAAGATTGAATCAAGCGGCTTGAAACGCCGTGCCTCAGTACAAGCAAGCCTCAAGCCGTTGGGAGACACCAATGAGCGAGAATAAAGACGAGACCAGAAAGAGGCAACTGATCCCGATTGCCTTTCTCGACGTTCAAACCCAGCTGCTGAGAGTGGCCTGCCTGCCATCCAACCTGTGCAGTGCTGAGAATGCAGACTCAGTACTCTCTGATGTTGAACAACAATTTGACATGGAAAGGACGAAAGCAAGATCAAACGGGAGAGCAAAAATAAACTGCTAAGTGCCCGTGCCCTGCCCCCCTCACCTGTCGGGTTTGCAGCGATCAGCTTGCGGCCATAGTTCTTTACGAGCTCAATGAGCTGGCTGGCCTGGTACGGCGCTGGCTTCCGCTCCGCTGCGATGACCTGGCGCAGCACGAGCGCCGTCTTGCGCGCTGTCACGAGGGATCCCTCCACTTGTCTGCAGAAGAGCCGGAGTGTTATGCATAGTGATGTAGGTTCCGAAGTGTCCCCGCCTCAGCCGTAAACCCAAAGAAAATGATTCACATTGGAGACATCAGCACGATCGACTGCCAGGCCTGTGCATTCCCAAGATTGTGTCCTCTGTTTAGAACTTGCAAATCAAAAATTGCAAGCTTCGGAACTTTCTTTGCATTGCTTATTTCTGTCTTTGCAAGTCCAAGTAGTGAATCCAGCAGTGAAGAGCAGAACTGGTGGCCTTGCGCGGAGCTCACAAAGAACAGCTACAAAAGGTGTTGACAAGCGGAAAGAGGTGACCCACAACTTGAACAGGCTTTTCTATCTCAGGCAGGAAGGTCTGAGAGAGAACTTAAAGCAAGCGAGTAAACTACGAGCGGTATGGAGCCCACTGTTGCCCAACAAATGCAGATTATCTGATTACATCCTGCCGCCTCCCCCTGCTCAACGACGATCCAAAAACTGAAGGCCATCCAATCTTGGAAAACTGATGATGGTGGTAAAGTAAGTACGGCCAATGCCGTTGCGAAATTGGGTGGCTATCTGTGTACTGACACAAGTTTGATAGAAAAGTCTGAATGTTATCAGGAAGGGCAAAGAAACCTCGCAGATAATGTAAAACCCATGGTGTTGCAATAACTGTGGATATCCATTGCTAATCGACGATGACGGGGTGTCACGCTGTGTCACCTCTGTCAAGATCGTGTATGCTATGACAAAATACATCAAACGCCATGATGCTGATGCGAACCTTGGGATCTAGAACAAATTTTTAAAGTGCATCATAACGAAGCAGCGCAAAAAAGGAAGCACCACCAATCTTTGTGAATGGACCCCACACTGTGGAAGCGTTGCCTCACCTCCTTTTCAACTTTGTGATGAAATCTTCTACCAGAGCATCAGCCATCTTTTCGAGCAGCTCAAGCACGGCCTTTGTTGTAATCTCAGGCTTCAGGCACGTACCACTTTTCCGATATTACTGATTTCAGCCGCTCGGGCGTCGCTTTGCTGCTGCCAGGAGCTCTCCTTGGGCTTCAGAAGCTTTTGATTTTGACGTGTTCCTGTTTCAATTTGCCCAGTCTAGGCTACCTATTTCAGCCATATTCCGAGGCTCGCGAGCGTGCGCGCTCACTTGGGGTGATGCGGCCGCGCGTCAGGCTGAAGCCGGCCGCCGCTGCCCAGTCGCGGCCGCGGGCTTGCCGCGTTAGCTAACTAGCTCATGAGTCCGAGTCATATGCATGCAGGAAGGCAAGGCATTGAAATGCATGGCTCGAAGTGTATATGCCTGCAGTAGGCACGGCCGCACTGACCGCACGGTGCACAGGTTAAGTATCATGAATCTTCACAAAATGGTTCAATTCGGCATGCAATTCGGTGGGAAGATGTTCCGTGTGACAAGTCAGGATATCCTCGCACATTGAGACATCGGCATGCTCTCGATCCAAATGCCGAATGGTCTCCATACAAAGTCGTGCCGCCACTAGATGCTAACTACTTTTGCGGGAATGCAAGCTTGTACAGCCTTGTAGGCACTAATTAAGTCAGTTCAAAAGTGGATATCATAGCATGATGTAAGTAGTAGTTCCAGCTTGCCATTTGCAGGTCCGAGCGCGTCAATGCCGATCGACTCGAGTATTCAAGTTGCCGAGTACATAATGTACACCATTCGAATGTTTGAACCTCATGTTAGGCTTCCTTGCAAGACCTTCGACGCACGCACAATGGCACGAGCCACACGGTAGATCTCGTGCTGCACGACGGCCCACGACTCATCGGTGCCCCCCGCCTTCTTCGCGTCCGCGACAGCGTCCTGGATCCCCGGAAAGGCCAGAGTGCCGTAGTTGTTGTCTCGTGGCGGCCCATATACCTGCGGTCAAGATCGCCTTAGAGATCGGGGAGGACTACCAACTACAGCGGAGAGTCAAGTTTGGGGAGTGCAAGGGTCCATTGGAAGTCCCAAGACGTTTGCTTGAATGGGTATTCGAACAAAAGGGCGGCTAGTTTCAAGGTGACTCTCAGATTCATCCAGGTGTCTTGTATATGTTACAAAATTCTCGAGCCGACCGCACAGCCCTATCAGCGGAGGACGAAGTAACTCATAAGAGAAAAGGAAGAGAAGAAACAAAACTCTTTGGAAAAGCTTTGCACGCACGAATGATCCGAGCAATGGACACCCTCCAAAGAGACACTGAACTAAGGACCGGCTTTTTCGGATGAACGATAGTCGAATGTTATGGCAGCCTGGAAGCGACCCACCACCCACGATGTGGCGCAACCGAAGCCCCTCATAGTCCAAAAGCACGTCTTTGCGCGTAGACTGCAATGTTCTGCAGCAGTTCTTTGCAACTTGACTGAGTAAACAGTTGAATTAGTGTCCTGAGGGGGTCACCAGAAGTGGCGCACAAGGGCCAAAACCTTGGCCCAAACTATCCATTTAGTGCGTAAACTTCCAGGATAAACCAAATTTTACAACCGAAAATTTTGGTGTTCCCCGCCAAAAATCAGGGTTAAGAGGTTGGTTAAGAGCGGGGTAACGGTGCTCACCAGGTGCTTATACCAAGGCCGACCTCGCAAACCCTCCCCCTCCAGAAACGCGCGCTCGGTGAGCATCAACCGGTCGTTCAGTACCCGCTGCCGCTGCCCCGCGCCTGGGCCCAACCGCGACAGGTCGCCGCTGAGCGCCTCTGGGGTTGAGTGCACCGAGTCTGCCGTGCGCTGGAAAAGGGCGACCGCGTTGTAGATTGGCGCGGAGGAGACGGACGGAGGGGCCCCGTTCTCTGAGAGCGCCTCGTCGACTTGGCCGCCATACTTCTGCGGTCGGCAGAAGGAAAAAGTGAATACCATGCAGAAGACACAACTCTACGAAGTCTGCTTTGCGACGCGTCGATTGTAGGGAACAGCTGCTGTTTGCGGTCAAAGGTGTCCCGAAGAAATGACAATACCGTCGAACGCTGATTTAAACCACCACCCAAGGTATAAGTACTCCTGGTTACCAGGAATGCTCATAATCAAGTTCGCAACTTGATATTCGCGACGGGCGCACACTGGACGCACACATACAAGGGGGTACCTTTCCTACATTAAAACAGGCCGTTTCTTCACGAATTGAGCGGCGGTTTCGATCTGGCCTTGCTGGAACTACTGAAAGAGAGCTTTAGAAAGCAAAACCGCCGAAAACCATGGAGTAATGCTTCAGTTTTTTGGATCTATAAGGTCAAAAATGCATGACTTGGAAGCGAGCGCCTTCGGACCGAAATTTGAATTCCGTTGGCCGTTGGCGCGAATGCCAGCCGGTTTGCCTCGAGTTATACCCGGGGTGGTGCTTTAAAACCATAAACGCCAATGCCCGACTATGACCGAGGCAGTCGCGAATAAATTCCGCGCCCAGGAGGAAAAGAGAGGACGGGAAGAGACGAGGCAGCATTGTCATGTGTTTGAGCATTGGGAACAGACTAGCTGCCGTGTAAGCAAGATGGTCCAGAGTTCCTGCAACACCTCCAGCACCTTCATTAGTATAATCCACAGCAGCAAGCATGTACTCTGGTTCGAGCAGCTTAAGTGCAGAATCCAGTATAGACGACGGCAGAGATCTGTATCCCAAAGGCGCGAGCAATCCGCATAACCTTCCTTTCGACCATATCGTCTTCGCTTCACACAGGGCGCCTTCTCAAGCTGAAGGCAGCGCACCTCCACTACGTACGGGGCGCAGATCTTATCCCCAGTCCGGACGCATAACTCATAAACGAACGGCAGGACGTCCGCGTCCGCAACCGTGAGCCGCTTTAGCACAAAGCGCGTACCTCCTCTCAAGCGGGACGGAGCGCACTCTTACCTTGAGTTCGGACGCACAGCTCCGGAAATCGAACGGGTGCACGCCCGCGTCCGCAACCGTGAGCCGCATAGCACAGATCGTATATCTGCTCTCAAAGCGGACGGAGCGCATTCTCACCTCCAATTCGGACGCATAGCTCCGGAAATCAAACGGCAGCACGTCCACGTCCGCAACCATGAGCCGCTATAGCAACAAGCGCATACCTACTCTCAGAAAAAGCGGAGCGCATTCTCACCTCCAGTTCGGACGCGTAGCTCCGGAAATCGAACGGCAGCACGTCCGCGTCCGCAACGTTGAGCCCCAGCAGCCCCCAGAACTGCGCGCACGCCACGTGCTTGTGGAAGCCCGGGTCCCCGAACCGGGTCATCCAGTCGTAGTTATCGTAAACCGAGTGGTAAACCGCGTAGTCCTGGCCCATGCCGGAGTCGGTGGCCGCGACGCCGACGTGCTGCAGCATGGCCGCGAAGTCGGTGCCGCCGCCGCCCAACCGCTGGATCTGCAGGGTTAGCAATAACAAAGGGTTAAGGTTCATGAAAAGGCTCTCAGGTTCTCAGAGTGGTTCTTGCAACGCCGACGTCATGCAGCATGGCGGCGGCAGTGCATCCGCTGGATCTGCAGGGTTAGAGAACAAAGGGTTTTTAGAGTTTGAAAGGAATCCGAGGTGGAAGGGCCGCCGCCCAACCGCTGAATCTGCAGGATTTGAATTTGCGAAAGTTTAGGGTTCTTGAAAACGTGGACTTGGGGGCTCTCAGGGTCGTGCATTTATGGCTGCCACCCCAGCGTCACGCGCCAGGTGTCCTTCTCCACGGCTGAGAGGCTTCGGGGTAAACTTTCACGATATCGAGTCAGGATGCACGTCACTTTTTATAGGCAACCTGCGATCAGGTTTGGTGCACCGGGAGTGGAAGTGTGAGTAGGTCTGGTTATTCTGGCGGTACGTAAGCACAATGGCAGCGTCGAAGGTTCTGACAACATTCGTGTTCAAAAGTGAAAAGCTGTGCTTGAGAGAGGGCACACGCCTACCGCAAACCTCACCTCCGTTCCGTTCCACACGTCGAAGATCGTCTTCCCCGGATGGTCCGGCTCCGGAACCACCTTGGTTACGTCCCTAACCAGATCATCTAACTGCGGAGACGCGGCCGCGAAGAAGCCCCCCCTCATTACGGCAGAATCAACGTTGAAATAAGCTACCCCTCGGTGCCGAAGCATGTCTGCGTTATCTTCGACCCATTCCGTTGACCCGATCAGTCCGTACTCTTCGGCGTCCCAATTGAGGAGCAGAATGGTCCGGCGGGGGCGCCAGCCGGCCGCGAGCAGGGAACCGTAACCCCGGGCAACCTGTAACCAGAATTCAGTGCTTCGATGTTGTAAGTTGAGTTGTTGGGGCTTTTTACGTAGGCAACATAGCAACGAATACTCGGAGGCGTCAAGGCTAAAGAGGGCAATGGACCGGCAGAACCGCCAGTCAGCCGCGACTAGGGCATGAGCGCAGGCGACCTGCACGGCGTTCTAGCTTTTTAACTTTTAAGAGGCAACGCGCTCTTGATACTAGATTTTCTGAGGTATGATTTATAGGAACGCCACACAAAGAATTCGGACCACTGACAATCAGATTCGGACGCCTCAGAAGCAGACTGGGTATGTCACAGTCAGATCTGGACGCCACATAAACAATTTGGACACCTGATGATCGATTTAGGACGCCCAAGAACCGACTTCGGGCCCGTACCCCGTGGCCTCGGTTCCCCGTAAAAGCATGAGGCTGAGCCGCTTGAGACTCCACGCATTCAGGAGCGGTTGCCCTTACTTGATGTGTTTCTGAAGCATCCGGATCGGATTGCTCACCTCAAGGAGCGCTGCTGTGCCGCTGTTGGGATCGGCCGCTCCGTATACCCAGGCGTCCCGGTGGTTGCCCAGCATCACATACCTGGGGAGTAACAACAGCCGTCGGATGAGGTTCCGAGGAGTCAGTGAAGGGCTAGGAAGTGACGACAACCGTTCGTTGAGGTTCCGAGGCCTCAAAATGAACATTTCGGAAACAAAGACAGCCCGTTCAATGAGGTTCTGAAACCTTGAGTGAGCGTGGGACCGAGGTCGAGGACATAGCGCAGAGTACAGCCGTTCGATGACAAAGTGAACATAGATCGAAACCGCCGGCTGAGTGAGAAGGGTCTCAGGCCAGTAGTTTCGGGCCAAGAAAACGGAGCTCTGCGAAAGAACCTCGACTCAGGAGATGTCCTTCTGCAAACAACCCTTCAGCCAGGAACAGCTTCCGCACCTGTCGTAATTGACAGCGCCCTCTATGACTCCCACCACATTGTGAATGGCCGCCAGGAAATGAGCTGCTCAACCCAACACATTCGATACAGAAATTCCTGCAAAAGAATCTCGAACCAGCGGCTAGCCTTTCCGCAAACAGCGTCCGCACCTGTCCGGTTCGGCGGCGCCCTCGATGACTCCCACCACATTGTGGATGGTCGCCACGCTATTGTTCATCTCCAGCTTCAGGTGCACCCTCGCCGGGCCGCGCCCCAGCGCGAACGACGACAGGTTGAGCGCGCCGTGCCACGTGGGCGGCCGCGGGGCGCCCCCAAGATTCTCCAGGATGGGCACCGCATCTGCGGAGGGAGAAAGAATTATCTTTCGTTTGACTTACCATATCAACATGCTATTCGCGTCGAACTTGGCACCCGAACTCGGATCCAAACTCGCTTTACTCGATCACGAGCCGCGATGTCGGGAACAGACATGCCCCCTGAAAACGTTTCTTGTACTTCGGCCGACCGAAGTCCCTGGTGATCAACAACAAGAATCGATGTGCGGAGTTCTTTACGGGGAATAGCTTAGGGAAAATTGAGAACTGAAAGAACAGAACCGACGCGGCTCGTGATCAAGGAACGCGCGTTTCGATCCGGATTCAGGTGCCAAGTTTGACGCAGCAGCAATACTAAAGAAGAATGTGAAGACAAGTCGGCAGGATCAACCGCAGCACCGGAACGGTGACAAAAATAGCCTCATTTATCTCCAAAGCAACTTTACCTTGCCAAGAAAGGGGAAGGCAAGGAATCGCCGGAAGTTGGTGCGCGTAGGCGGACGGCGGAACGCGCTCGGCGCCGGCGGTCGAGGGCCACGTGGGGGTCAGGGGGTCTCCAACGCCCGTGTACGCTGACCCCCGCTGCAGGAAGGTTTGCGAACAATTTGAGAGCGAAGACGAGCTGACGATTGAACTTGCAGGTAGCCTCGATCTACATTTGTCATAGGAAGGTTTTCAACAGGGGATCCGACCTTCTCTTCCAGGAGACCTGAAGCGCTTGAAGGGCCGAAGAGCAGGATCAGTGGACGAGGGTCGTTCTTCCAAAGCCCCTCCCTGAATTTGGTCACGTGCTCGAACGGCCAGTGTCAGGACGGCGATCAGACAGGTTTGATGTAAGTCAAGAAAAATAAGAATAGCTAGGATAAAAGTAAGTTCCGACTAACACCAAAATCCTAACTCACAAAAGTACCTGCTCCGCACCCTTACCCACCCTAACCTCCAAAGTAACCCTACCCGTCCCAGTGCGGTTACCCTACTAATATCTAAGCTTAATATCTTCCTTGAAATCAATGTCTATTTGGGAAACGCCATTAGAAGCCCCGCAAACGCACAGCTTAAACGGCACCAGCCGCAATCTCCATAAGAGTACCCTTAAGGAGGTGAGACAAAGACGCGGATGTTTCCATCTGGGTCTCAGCCCTTGGCAGCGAGCACGCTACGAAACGCCAAAACCCTGACAGCATAAATTCCGGCTACCAAAACGCAGCTCAAAGGCAAAATTGCCAGATACACTCACAATCGCCTCCAAGGAGAGAAGCTAAAGGCTTTCTAAGTTCAGTTCGACTGAAAACGGCAGTCACGGATCGGAGGATCTTAGGCTGGTGCGTTTTCTTTCGGACGATCTGGTATACGGACGGGCGATCCCGAAATCTGAGTTCAAAGTTAGTTCACCAGTCTGCGGCTGCTCGTGGGGCTTCCGCTTTCGAGTTTGCGGAAAATAAGGAGACGAGCCGCGCGCGACACATGTTGCACACGCGCGTGTGCGCCCGCAGACTGGATCACATAGTGGGAATTAGTATTTCGGACTTGCCCGTTTGAAATCAGACGTCCGAAAAGGGCGCATCAGTCTTTTGTGTTCGCAGCCAAAGTCTCACCTGGACTCCAGCGGGGGGCAGCCACTCGGCGTTCGGGTACGCCCCTTCCGTCATGTTGGCGGCATACTCCTCGGGGTCTGAGTAGATCAGACACCCGATCGCTCCCCGATCTGCCGAGTTTTTCACCTGATTGGAAGAAGCAGTAGAGGCTTGAATCTTGTCAAAGCACTGAAAAGAAAAAAGGGACTCCATGTACCTTGTTAAAGATAGAAAAGTGGTCGTCCGAAGAGCGTCAAAAAGAATGCAAGTGAACGTGGAAAGATTTCCACAAAAATAAAAGTCGGTTGAAAAGATTCAATTGAAGAATGAAGAACAACTGTGTCACTCGTCTATGAGAAGCAGCTTTGAGCGCCTAGGCTCATCGAACACTAGGATGCGACCAGAGGTGCAACAAAGGGTGAATCTCTGGTTTTTCCTGCTTCTTAAGGGTCTAAAGGTCAACAAGATGAAAGCTATCTCCGTTTGGCCAAGAGCCAACACGTCGGTCGTTCTGAATTTCTAACACGGGCTCGTGATGCTCGAAGAGAAGCGGCGCGATGAGACCAGGCCGTAAACAGTCTCCTGTTAGTGATGAATGCTCGTGGCCCACCTTGTCTCCCCTAAAGATCTCGCCGTACCGGGCAATGACGATCGCCCCGGACACATTCACACCCAGCAGCGCCAGCTCGTCAAAGTCCTCGGTGCGCCCGTAGTTGGCATATACGACATCACCGGTGACGTCACCTGCTCGAGGGGGCGGAAACCGAGCGCCAAAATTGAGGGGAGGTAAGCAGCAGTGGGCCTTTGCTATCCCATAAAGAAGTCTTGGGTATAAAGTCCTTTCAGGAGGGCACTTTCCCGGTCCGATTGTACAGAAGGTACTGTGGCGCGGCAGAATTGAAAAACGCAAGTTTTGAAGAGCACGTTGACTGATGTAGAAACCTCCTCTCGTCTTCCTCCTTCAATGCTCCGACCGTAAAAAGATGGAGCAAACGAGCACAGAGGAATGTGTGCTGGCAGATGGTCGGTTCTGCTGGGACCAGCCCTCATGAATAGTGCTGTTAACACCAATTTGTGTTGCTCTGGTATGTGACCTAACCCGGACGATGCACAACTCATCTCCACGAGATTCAACCTGCAATGTGTAGTATTACAGCGACGCTCATTCCAATGAATCTCTGGATCCATGCTGAATCTTCGACATACCCCACTACAACAGAAAAGAGCGCACCACCTAGCAGCTGAAGAACTGTGAACCCACCTGACTTGGAATATGCGAGGAATGTGTCGACCTCCTTGGGACTCCGTGACTGCGGAACCTCCTCCTTGACGGACTCTCTCAACAGCGGGCTGAATTCGACGGGTGCCAGCATGTGGAGCTCTCGCTTCAGGGGGTAGCTCAGAAGCACGTCATATGATGTCATGTGGGTCTTGATTCCATACTCCCTGAACTTTTGCATCACATAGTGTGCCCTGCAAAGACTCCGAAAGGAGAAGGGATAAGAGAGGTGTTTGTTAGACTGTACTGTCGTGCGCAAGTAGGGCGAGAGTGGAGGGAGAAGACTGGACAAGCTGCCCGCGGTTTGTCCGACGTCTGTGAAAGCATTACTTTTTGCTTGGAAGATCTGCTGCAGTTGCAGAAGGCAATGGTTTGGGACGAAATGATTGCTTCCTTGGCGTGCCAGTGCAACTGGGCTGCCGGCCTGTAACATCTTGATAGCCCTCCCTTCCCTCAAATTCCTCTGGCCTCACAGTATGCATTAACAACAAGACTCGCCCTGATCCACTTGCAAAGAAAAGTCGTGCTTGTATGCTCCCAAGTGAATCTCAGAAGAAGATTTGATTGCACATTCAAGTACTCCTTATATGCAGTTGCTCAAAGCCCGCCACTGCTCTGGGGCACGCGGTATTTTAGGTCGTTCATGACCACAAATAGAACAATAGAACTCCTTACGCTGCCAAGTCCTCTGGTGATCCTGAGATGTGTGGTTCTTTCACAAGCTCCCTCAAGTGCGCCGCAGCAGAGTCGTTGCTTGGGAGGCCAATGAATGAGTCATGGAATCCTTTTACCTTCTCTAGTTTCTGCATGTGATCTGTGCTCTGCAACCACTCAATGCTGCCAACTCCGATGCCATAGCCGACTGCCAATGCTGCTAGAACAATTGCGACAAGAATTGGATGGGGCGCTAACTGCTGTCTGCTCTTTGCTGCAGAATCCGCAAGATTGCGAGGACTTGTACTTTTTTCTAGGAGCGGATGCTGAGCGGCAGAGTCTTCTTTAGAGGGGGAGTCCATCTCCGCCAGCGGCAAACTTCTGTCTTTCAGTGGTCTAGGCATTTTTATGAACTGCAGAAAAAGACCCAACGTTTAGCAGGTAGAAGAACTATGATCCAACACCCATGTAAAGATAGGATGCTTCAGCAGAGGGTGCCAAACCTGATTAAATTCTCAAAACCCAACGCGGATGAAGGCAACCGGAAGGCAATCTTACGCGCCGTGCAACAAGGTGCTGCTTAAAGCCTTGAATTAGTTATCTTCTTCAAAAAGGCAGGAAAGAGACCACCCCGCAACTTAAGCTTTTTCCCCCTAGCTAGGTAGCAGAAAACTCGTGTGTACAACCCTAATCAGAATAAGTACTCAAAGTACGCACCAGTAAGCATGTCAGCAAGAAGTTTCAAACTCGATATCGCTGAAAAGCAGCTGCCTGCGATTGGGAATAGCATGGTTGCAGAGGATCTCTACGGTGGATGATATCTTTATGAAAACATCTCGCTCTCAAGAAGGCTTCTATCGCACGACGGGTCTCTTGAGATTTGTCGCAACTTCGTTTCCTTCCATAGTCCTTTGTAACTGAATGCAAAATCGTTCCAGCTGTTTTAGCTTCACCAGTGTACTCGGAAATCCGATCACATTCAAACCTCACCTTCTTCTCGACGGGCCTTTGACTTTAACTTAGAGAAGCTTCCTATGCACTTGTCACTTCTGAAGGTCTGTGGCCCAAGGTCAAAGCAACCCACGACCCACCATGACCTCAAATATCATGCAAGACCTTAGCGCAGGACCTTGTGCTGAGAAATGTTGCAGAAGTAGGCAAGCTACCTGCCTACCGGTACTTCGTCTGTAAAGGAAGCACTCATCACGATAGCCAAGTCACTTTTGTCGCTAAGGTTTATCGACGGTCGCAAGATGTCCCATCTTGTACCGGTGGATTCTTGTCCGTTAGATTTAACCGACTCTTGATAAGCACTCGAGCTCTGCCTCTGATAATGCGACAGTCATGTGATGACCATGCTTGTAAGCCTTGCATTCTGCCAGGCGCCATGCATCATCCCAAACAGCAGTTCGGTTTGGATATTTTGAGAACCTTGTTCAGCTTGTTGGTAGAGTCGAGCGTATAGTCCAAGATGCAGAGCTCTAGTTCTATTGAACACACAAACACTTCTCTACTTCATACATGTATGCCATGAGACTAAGCCTATGCCCTATGTCCTTATATTTGGCTACGGCGAGTACCAAGAGACCATCATGGAATGTGCAGGAGCTAGCTGCGAAGGTACCTATACGTACAGCAGCCTGCCTATACCTATGCGATTGAAAAGCGATTGCTGAGCTTATATATAGCTCGAGCTGTCATATCAGCGCGCGACTATGTATATGAATGAACTGATTCTTTATTTGCATCCATTTACATCCAACATGATTCGTTTCGACCAATAAGATTCCTTCGCTGAGTGCATACCATTGATGTGCCACGATGCACATGGCGCATACGCATGGAAGATACTTCCGACCAATATCAATGATTTTTCTGAAATTTTAGTAGGATGCAGACCTAGCAGGATCGCCAGCTAGTAGACACACTTTGCCTTCGAGCTAGCCTGGTCACTTGATGCGAAAAAAACCCGTTGATATAGTTGCAAACTCTAGGATCCACAGAACTTAGGTTTGAGAGACTAAATCTCACCCTCTGACCTCGTGGAGCTACCTCAAAGCTAAGGCGAGAGTAAGTTCGCTTGCATTAAGCAGCCTTAGCCAAGCTCTAATGAGTAATCAAACCTTGTTCTTAGCAAATCTAGGTGCACGACCGTGTGCGAGCTTGCGAAAATCGTCAATATTCCACCATTCATTGTCAACTGTTTCCAGCAACATATGCCAGCAGAGCTGTTCCTATGTATGGCCGTCAAAGTTTCGTGCCGCGCGGTATTGGCTTATGTACACCGCACTGGTATCGAATCCTCGTTGGTTCAGAAACTTGTTCTGTATCCTCTCTTATACCCAGGATCTTCTGGACACGCCCTCTACTAGGGGCTTATTAGCATGAACTAACTGCTAGTCAATCTCCAATATGGACAAGTACACGCGCCACACAATTAACCCCAAAATCTAACCCTCACACCACCCCTATCACACTATTCCCGTCTCCGTTGCTCATGCCCCCGTTTTTGTACGACAGCTTTGATTGGAACGCCGAGTGCCTCAAAGGCCCCTCCCCCAAAAGCCTCGCCGATAGGGGGGACGGTTCCAAGAGCGAAGGAGAGGCCCCCTCTCCGGGAGCCTGAGCGTCCTCCCCCCTGCCAGAGCACCCGGGAATGTCCAACGGCGCTGAGGGATGGCTTGCGGTGGGCCGGCAAACCTTGCTACTGGTTTGATTTACCGCGCCCGACAACCCGTTCTGCATCATCCCATAAGCGAACGGCCCCATGCTAAACCACGGCAAGTGCGAGAAGTTGTGGAAGGGGGGGGACGCGAAGCTGTGCTGGGATGCTTGCTGTGCCGTGGGGTCAGCGTCTCTCAGCTTCTCGTCGAGTTCGTGGGGCGGTTGCGGCTGAGGAGGGGGGTGGGAAGGGGAAGCTTTGTGGGGGATCGGCTTCGTGACTTCAGTCCTCCTGCAGCAGGTAGAGGGAATACAAGTCTTCAGGATGATGCCAAAGATAACGGCAGATTGCCCGAAGTTATTCAAGCTGCGTCTTTGGTGAATTGAAAGCACTTCTTAGCTGGCTTCCACGGCTTCAATCAGAGGACACGGCTCAGGAAATGAAGGACGGCACAGGATGCCCACGAACGGGCGCAAGCGAAACCGAACGCGAATGGAGATCAAGAAGAGTAGAAAAGGGCGCAACGTCGCTGTACTCCGTTTTGAGACAGGATTTTTATGTTTTAAATCCAATGAATTTCTCATTCTGAAGCACCAAGACGTTGAAATAGAGGCGAATTTGCAAAGTCACCAAGCAAGAAATAGACAGGGTGGAAACAAGCTCACTGTTCGCTGTTGCTCGCGCCGCCCAGGTCATGCAACCGCTCGTACGACGTGGCACGCACCATCTCGGTCACTGCCGCCATCTGCTGCTGCCGAGTCAACCCTGACGTCATCCCATTCGTCATCCCATTCGATGACGTCATCTGGACTGGGGGGAGGGGGAATTGGGGGTAGGTCGAGTGGCGGGCCAGCATGGGGGGATGCACGAGGCTTCCCCCAAAACCGGGGGAGATGTAATTTGGGGGGGAGAATGGGATGTTGGCCGGGAAGTGGTTAGGGGTGGAGTAACTGGTCGCTAACCGGCCATGGCTAACCGGGGGTGGGAAGTTGGGGAAATGGAACTGGGGGGGCGGGTAACTGGAGGAGGGGAGGGGAAAGTTTGACTGCTTGCGCGTAGGATCGAAGAACGTGGCGGGGGGGCCAAACGAGGGGGCAGCCGGGTTGGGGCTGAGGGGAGGCATGCCAGGGCTGCGGATGTCATCGGAGGAAGCGGAGCTGCGCAGATTGGGGGCGCTGATCGAGGGGGTCTGCACAAACCGTCGCAGAACGGGGAGGTCAGTATTGAGGCCAGCTTGCAAACAGATACACGCCTTTGATATCGAAAACCAGAACACCAACACCGAGGCAAACGACTGTGATAACAAAGGAAAGTAAGGGCCGCAATAAGTCTTCCGGCACTATGATATGAAACAGCGGTTCAACTTTTAATAAGCGATGTGCTAGTCGCCAGTTCGAGCAAGAAAAACCGTCTTGTATATGAGCTAGATGCTATTTTGATGTTTGCTATTTTCAAACGCCCTTTACGGAAGGAAATTCGCCACAGGAATATGGGAAATGTCCCACTCAATGCTTTTTGATATCTGAGGCCGCTCATATCTTGGGAGGCAGGAAAGCGACTCGTTCTAATAAGACTGCCGTTTCCTGTTCGTGTTTCCTGGCAGACCATAGAAAGAGGACGAATAGATGACGTGGCTCACAAGGTCGGTGACGAGGTCGAAGAGGCTGGAGCGCCGCTTGCGCTTGTTCATGTTGGACTGGCGGATGAAGTACTTCTGCGCGTGGCTCGCGACCTGCGTCGGTGTGCGCGACTGCACGTACGTGCGCGAGATGCCGCGCCAGTCGCCCTTGCCCAGCTTCTGGAGCCCCAGCAGAAACAACCGGTGCTCTTCCTCTGTCCACGGAATCCCTGCGGCGCGGTGACAGTGACGTCAGCACATGAAGTGATGATAATAGCTGAGATGAGCAAAGGGATAGCGAAGCAGAGCTGGCCCGGGCCCTGGAAATAGGTGAGAAGCGGATATCGGCAAGTGGGGCGGCTGAAGTCAGCAGGTGCCGGCAAAAACACCCTGTCTCAACTTCCCCGTGTTCTGTTTCGTTTGACAGGAAGCACCATAAATCTCTGCGTCCTAGAAGCGCTGACCTTGGCGCAGAACCAAAGGATCACTAGGAAGACAATCAGGCTGCCCAACACATGAGCCAGAGAAACTCGGACTCAGGTGCGAAACCAAAGGTGTTCAGAGTGCAAAGAGAAGCGGCAAGATGGAATCATCGCTGGCTGAAGACTCAAGCCAAAGGAGTGTTGCAAACCTGTCCCGGGAGCACACAAACCAAAACACATACGTACCTCATCTCAAGGAAGCAAGGGGATTAACAAAAAAAGGCAATGACAACTCAATCAAAACAGAGAAAAAGCGGGAAAGCCCAGATCAATCTGCAACCGGTTGGCTGCACAGAATGAACATGGTTGTAAGGACTATCTAAAAAGACCTGACAATCAAGGTCAGAAGTGCGTGTCGCCCACTCAAGAAAAGCACAATTGAACGAAACACATCTCGAAACTTGGGCAGAATATCTATTGGCGTTTCACCGAAGTCTTGCAGCTTGAGCAATCAGTAGCAGTAACTATGTGTGAGCTCCGGTCCTGCGATTTTGCTTCCCAGAAACATGTGTTGCATTTCACCATTTTCTAAAATGATTGCAGTCAACAGGAGTCAAACAACTGACAAATGCAGCGCTGCAACGCATAGAGCGTGACTGAGGCACAAGAAACCACCTTGGACCAGTTCTTCGAAGTAACATGCCTAACGTTCTATACCATCATGAGCACTCAGTTTTCAGTTCGCAATGTAACTAGACTGCATGCGATTAAAGGAAGGTGAGCTGATACCCCAATCGTCTTGACTAGCTACGCCGTGTTCTACAAAAGATCAAGTGGTATTAATGCACATATGTTAGGCCAATGGTTGCAGTTTAGAGCACCAGCACAGCCTCAAGGCCCAAGATGATGACTGCCTGATCCAAAAGTAGGGAGGAGGAAAACAGAAAGTACGATTCAGCTGCCAACACTGAGTCGTTTTGATGCCAGCTGAGGGGCAACTGCTCTGTTCTGCACCCTGATCCTTGGATTGACAGTGTAAATATAGCTGCAAGCCATCAGTCGATCAGGTGTCTTGATGAGATGGCAGGTTCTGATCAACTTCAAACACATGCATGTCAGATGCTTTTTGAACTTATGGAAGAAGCCCGATGACAATCAGGGCCTAAAGCACCCCCCTCTACACCAGCTCAGAGTCCAATCTGTGAACCGCAGCGGGACAATACAGGTCCCACGAATCTTCAAGGGCAGACTTTCGCAATCTCACATGTTGACGCTGATCCACAGATCAGAACCACTCGATAGATCAGAACCACTTCAAAGATCAGGACCACTCTGTTGATCAGAACCACTCTGTTGATCAGAACCACTCCAAATGACCAGAACCACTCAAACTGCCTAGAACCACCTCCCAAATGGGAACCACCCAGATCTTAAACAAAACAAAAGCCTCTCGTCTCACCCCTCTTGCGGTCCCTTGCCCCATGAACCAGCCCGTCCGAAAGGTAACCGTCCGCTGCCGCATTTCCTCTGTCCTCATCCCCAGGGTCTGCAGCGTCCACCGTCGCTCCTGAGTAGTTGCTCAAGTTGCCCATACTGACACTCTTCCGCATGCTCTCGCTCATCTCGCCTGCCCCCTGATCATGGATCCGTACGCCAAACAGCCGGACGCCGCGCTCTGGACACGTCCGACTGTTGTGGTTCTGCTGCGCGCAGTGGGAGCAGCGGCGGGTCATCTTCGATACACTCTTCTGCCGAAAGTTTGTGTCACTGTCCTGCTAATCTTTATGTTGATCCTATGAACTAGTAGACTATCCTGTCCAGGCTATGTTTCAAGACTGATGTCCAGGTTCAATTTAAAACAACGCTGTCCAAGGATGGGAGATCTAAGAGCTGCTACTTCAACACACAAGCTTTAGCTCATCCGCTGCCAGATCTTGAACACCTCGACTGACCCCAGCACTCGAAGCAAACCTCTATCGTCCTCCTAAGTAATTCCGGATCTTCACAGAACTGACCACTGCAGCAGAGAGCTTGCGATCCTTATGCCCTTCAGGTCTTCGACCCGTCGGTCCGCCCTGCCAACCGCCCCTACAATCAACGTTATCCTGCCCATTCCTGCACCTGCTTTGCGCCTTTTGGTCCATTCAGATCAGCTTCTTCTTCTCCTGAAACCTGTGGAAGCCATGGTTCGCACCTGGTGAGTACCTATCCTTGCACAGATCTTCCTGCAGAAAATGGTAACCGTCGGTGGAAGGGACCCGCGCAAACGGTGCCGTAACCACCAAGCGCCTACAATACGACAACTTTTAAGATACGAAGGGTTATCGCCGGTCTTCATAACCTCACTTTCAAACCGAGCAGCGAGAACCCCTTGCAAAGGCCGCCTTGTGCGGGCCCGCAGTGACCGGTGAACCACTCAAATCTCCAAACCCGTCGGTACCGGAAAGATTAACTTGGTCAAAAAGTGTTTGTCAAGCTCTTAGACGACGCCAAGTGGCAGACATAGCCATGATGGGCATTAATTCCTTGCATGAAGAATCTTCAACCGGATGTGGTTGTCCAGAGGTTCAGGGTTTTGAAACTGCAACCGCGAATGCCGGCCGCGCTAGGTCACCGTCGCGCGGCGCAGGTCGACGCGGTCACATGTACGTAGTACGGCCGGACCAGGGGTGCGGGCGGGGCGCAGAATGGGGCGCAGAGCGCCCCCGGGAAAAATCCTGCGCCCTCGGGCGGAGGGCCGGGGCGCAGAAGCGCCCCCGGGCAAATCTGGGCCTGAGCAGGGACATTGACTGTATTTGGTGCTTATATCTGTTAAAAAAGTCGAACAAGTTCAAGCATCTGAGCGAGGTTCACTTCCATAAGCGCTGGCTGGATGATTGGACATCTATAATACGTGCCTACAATACCAGCATTTTAGATTTAATCGTCCTTGTTCTGACCTCCCTTCTCAGCTGAATGTAAAATCTCTGAGTTCCTGATGCATATTTGCATTTATTACTCTCATATCCAGACTGGACTTAGTAGCATTTTAAATCACGAGGTACCATAGCTGCTTCAGGAGGAGTATAAGGAGGGCCAGGGTTCAAACTTCAGGGCCCTCCCACAGCTTCCGCAATATATAGCACGTGCTAGTTGTACCGGGCACTATTGAAGGCCCGGTACTACCATGTGCGCCCCAGGGAAGCTGGCCTGCGCCCCAGGGCGATGGCCCGGGGCGCAGAAGCGCCCCGGGGCAAAATCCTGTCCGCACCCCTGGGCCGGACGTGTATGGTTCCGCCGCATAGGTATAGCTGAGCTAGTTGGCCTGCACGACGTAGGTACCTTGGCGGCATTTTCACCCAACTCTGCGGGCCCCGGCCAACTGTGACTTCGCATAGGCAATGGGCCATACTTTACCGGGAGTGCCAATGATACCGGTACGCTGCATGCAGTACATCGTTACCGCGCTATTGCCGGACCATTCTCATGCCCCCCTGGCACTGAAAGACTAAGTTGCGATTGCAAGCGCACCATGAGCCTGGCTCACCGGCCTCGTTGCGACCGGCCCTATAGGCGACACTCAAAACATATACAATTTTCAAACTGAAGGCTCCTTGAAATGTATGCACGACAGTAGTCGAAGGAGTAAGTGCACGCGCGAGCATGCCCCCCACATGTGTGGTCCGATGATGCAATACATTCGTGATTGAGGCTGTGCTATGGGTGATTTTCCACGTAGGTCAATGGCATGAACGTCTTTCAGGTCAAATATATATGACGGTCATGGGTTTTTAATGAAGCGGTTTCATGACTCAGGCCGTCTTGAATTGGGTGTACAGACATATATATGTCAGATTAATGAGGTCACAAGTTGGGCCCGCCTCGCTGACCAGGCCTTTACATAGATCTGAAGATCTGGCACTAGGCCGGGCACCACCAATTGGCTCAGCTTTTCTCAACCGATGATGACTCCATCAAACAATCAATAAGGTAGCCATCACTGACGCTGTCGCTTGAATGGTGAACCCTTGCCAAGGTGTGTGTTGTGTTCCTAAAGTTCGTTTTGAAGGATGTGGACGTCGGTCTTTTCACCGCCACATCAGCAAAGGATACCGTGCCTCCTCGAGTTTCTGAAATCCGGTGAGGGTCCATTCAGGGCTTGAACGTTCTACACTAGCACGGGCTCTTTCGACAACGCTTTTTGCCGATCCTTGACGGTCATGTAGAGGCCCTGCAAATGCAACAAGTACACTTATTAACACCGCTTTAAAGGAAAAACTTGTCGAGTCACATGGGCACCGGAGCTCATAACAAATGCAAGCGACATTCTATCGTCATCCAAACGGTCGCGAACTCAAAACCCCGCCGAGCACTATGTATGAACGCCTCTATCGTTTGTTGGTTGAAAGAAACAACGGCCGTGTTATTCCAGTTGCGTTCTGTTTGACGGTTTTAAAGGAAAAGGGGACTAGGACACGGCTGCCGTCTCTTTCCTTCAGTAGCTGATGCTCGGCCTTCGTCGCGATCACGAAGTGCTTCAACTCCGACCAGAAGTGGGGCGTAATTTCAGGAAATGGAAGCGGGGCTTTAGTGTATCCAGACTAAACTGCAAGTTTGCAATACTCACGTTCTTGGTGTGAATGGTCGCCCCCGTGGTCATGCCGATGTCCTGCCCCGGCACCAGCTCGAAGTCGAACCGCTGGAACAGCTTCGCGAGCGCCACCACCGACTCCAGCAGCGCGAACTGGTCGCCCACGCACTTCCGCGGGCCGCCCGAGAAGGGGATGTACCTGCGGCCGGGGGGCGTGACGTCAGCATGACGTCATCTGGGAAGGTGCGGGCGGCCGGGGACGGATCGGCTGCGCGTCACGCGCGGCAAGAGCATGACATCATCTTGACAATGATGTGGTCATTTCTGACTGTTGGATCTCTGTTGTCCTATTTCAGTAGGACAACTAGCAGTGCGAGAGCCAAAGCGCGCTCACCTAAAGTCGGTGTTCGCCTCGTTTGGCACCTGGCCCTCGAGGTCGAAGCGCTCGGGAAAGAACTCCTCTGCCTTGTCCCATACCTAGTTAGGAGAAGCGAAATATGTTTCGAAGACCCCAAAGGTCAGATGAAGTCCTGTGCGCCAGCCAAATTGATTTCGCTCCCGGTTGTCCACAGGCATGTTTGACGCCTTTGTAGGAGGACCAGAGCGGTGATTGCATGCGGCCATACCAGAGGATGGGCATTGTATTGCGGCACCATCATCAGGCAGAAGAGATGCTACTCCTGAACGAGCTTTCCAACTCACTTTCACACTTGTACGTACGCATTCAAGGACCTTGAAAAATAGTCAGCAAATAGACCTACAATCACAGTCTCTGGAAAACCCCGAAAGTCTGGCTGACAACAGTACGAAGCGGTGGGCAAACCGCATTCATCCCTGGCAAAAGCGAGCGGTCAGAACATGCAGCATGCGCGCAAGCGGCGCGGCGAGATTCTGCGGGGATTGGTACACGTTGCAAACAATGCGACAAGAGACCTTTGCGAACTCTTTGTTAAGATACTGGGCGGTCTCAAAAAGGTCGGGGTAACCCCCAAGTAGGATTGCAGTGAGGAGCGGGCGCACCTGTGGCGAGTGGTGGATGTTGTAGACGGAGATCATGACGTCCTGCCCCGTCTTCACCTTGTATCCCCCGGGGATCTCGTCGTCCACAATGGCGCGCCGGATGAGCACCTGAAGACAATATTCTTGAATGCTTGAATTGAGCTCAAGATATCAGAATTGTGAGGATTACTCTAGAAACCTAAATCCAAGCATTTTTCTGCTCAGCACCCGTGCCCACCCTAAAGCCCCACACTAAACCCACCCGTCCCAGTATTATAGTTGGGCTTAGCATACCTAATCTAGAGACCAATCACCTGAAGAAGAGTTGCATCCGATCGCTACTGGCTTTCAAAGGGAAGGTCGGCTAAGCTTCGCGAAGCCTCTGAAACTGCCGAGCATTGGTCTTACGTAGCCACTGCAACGGTGAGGAGCACCCCGCAGAAGATCCTACCGAAGTTTGCAGAGCGTTGGAGGTGGCCTCCTTAAAGATCGTTGGAGAGCGCAAGGGAAGATGGGCGTTAGCGGAAAGTGTGCGACGCAATTTTTTTATGACCAGTGTCGGGCAAGATTTGCATGGAGGTCCTTGCTTTCTTTCGTCACCGAAGAAGTCCAACTCGTCGCTGCTTTACAGCGACTCTGTTTACGAGAAAGCCACGAGGGGTCAACGGAAGAATGAAAGAACGGAAGGGCGGGCTCCATTAGTAGGCTCGAGACGCAGAATCAGTAAGGGCCTTTGCGGGCTGTGCGTCTCACGGGGGGGTGCGGGTAGAGGCGCATGGACTCATTGATGCAGCGCATGATGTACTTGAGCTCGCGCGTGTCAGCAAACGAGGGCGACCGTCCGTCCGGCAGCACGCGCGCCAGCTCCTCAAACACCTTCTCCCGCGCGGACGGGCTCTGCGGACAGGGAGAATAACGATGTTTCGGACACGTATGTTAGCTCTGATGATTCGGACGCCCTGTCTTTGAAAACTTGGTAGCGCATAGCTTGCTCGCCTCACGGTGATGGCTCTCTCCACGTGTCCGACCCGTAAAAACCTTCTCCCGCGCGGACGGCCTCTGCGGACGGGAAAAAGGGTACCATATTCGGACACGAATGCTGGCCCGGACAATCAGACCTCTGTCAATTTTCGAGACGTCGGGCAATCAGCTTTTCCGCGGTACTTGCTCCTCCAAGTGCCCTGACCCTCAAAACTGTGCCAATTGGACAATCTGCGGACAAGGAAAAATACAATTACCGGACACAGCTATGGCGTCGACGTTCGAACGCCTCAATCGCTTTTTGGGATCCTTGAAGTGCCAAGATACGCGCTCGGCAATCGCTTTTCCCAAGAGCTCTGACGTGCTCTCCGGAACCACCGTTGGCAGGGCGTTAATGTACCTAACCGGATTGCAAGGAAATACAATACTAGCGGAGCTTATCGTGTTGCAAGCCGCCCGAAAACTCCACAGAATAACTGATGGAATGAGAAAGCAAAACGGGCGTTACTTGGCTGTTCGTGATCCGTTCGCCCATTAATGGAGCTTGAACCAAGGCTGAGCAGTTCAGAGAGACTGCCACGCGAGAACGATAGTTTCGAACAGGTCAAACAAAGACCTCTTACTTTCGCCGGTAAGGCCCTTTATGCGTGGGCAGCACTAGAATGGTACGGCGCTTTCTGACCTCTCAGTTTCTGTGTGGGACCCGCATCACTGGAGTTTCTACGAGAGGGGCAACCCTGGTTGTTCTTGCGGACCTAGAGGCCCCAATTATCGTTAATTATCGCGATAATTATCGTTAAGCACGCTTTTAACGCTGCTCATATAACAAAGCAAGTCGGTGCTTCATGGATGCCACTGTAACGCTTTCCACCGGCCGCAGCGTTTCGCGCAATCATACTTTATAGTGGTATTCATATCACGTAAATGGTAGTGCGGTGAAAAACGAAAGGAAGGGAACAGAAAGAGGAAAGGAAAGCTGGAAAAACGACGCGCACTGACCTGCGCTAGGAGGTAGACAGTCCACGTCAGCACCGACCCCGTCGTCTCGTGCCCCGCGACCAGCATCGACAAGAGGTCGTCCCGCAACTGGGTGCTCGAGACCTGGACCGGAAACCGAAGCGAACAATGATCACGACACCGTCGTCAAAAACCTGGCTCTCAGCGGTGGGTCTCCTGCTTCAATGTCTCTATGCATCCCAGATTCAGAAAGACAGACCTTCCGCAAAGTTACCCTTTCTTCGCAACCAAAATGCAAGCCCCAGGGCCGAAGTTGTGGCAAAGCTGGCCCCTCGAAGTGCTCAGACCGACGCAGTATTACCGGCGCACCCGAGCAACGCATTGCAGAAGTGAGACGCTATTGTTCCCGTTCTGATGTACTAGCGAAAGCCCCACCAAAGTGCCTTCCGTCGGACCCTGTGTCCTCCATACAATGACCGCGATCCAGCAACGGGGGTCGCGCTTCCGGCACTCTGCAATGCTCGTTCTTCTGGCCTTTACTCTTTGAAACCTAAGAAGCGAGATCCTTAACGCTTTCAAGTGAAAGACTCTAGAAAGGTGCGACTTCAAAAGCTCCCGCAGTTCGTACTCCCAGCAGCAGGAAGCGCCGCGCGCGTTCTGATAACGAACCCTCCTTAGGTGAACCAATCATTTCCGGTGATCAAATCCCTCTCGTCAAAAACGATATCAAAGCAAACTAAACCCCGACTCAAACAGCAGACTGTGAGCGAACCAGGAAAGTCGAAAAAATCCCTCACCTCTTCTCTGCTGGCCAGCAAGAATCGCAACACGCTAGGATCGGACTCGTTGATGTATTCTTCTTCAGTCAACCGCTCGTTCTCTGCTTCTACGATCTCCTTGCACTGCGCCACCAGTCGCTCCACCGTCTCCTGGATCAACTTCACGGCAGCGGCCGCTTTCTGTTGCCGCGGAATCAGCTTGCACAGTAACGGAACCTGCGCGGGAAGACACTCTTCTGTCAGCGTTCTCAAGTTTCCAATTTCGGAAGTCTCGATTCTGTAGGAGTATGTTGCTGTAGGAGTTAGGAAACAACTCCGAGCCATTTACGCCTTTTCGTTGCCGAGGGTCCGTTCTGCACAGGAGTTGCGGACAGGGTTCGAAGCTTGGATATAACCGTTGTGGCGGTTCTGCGGTTCATTGCTGGAGAAAGTGCGTACTCAAAAAAATGGCCCTTTCGTTGCCCGAAGCTGAGAAGGGAACACGAATCAGACGCACGGACGTTTGATTCTTATTGCGAAGCCAAGAAGAAAGGTCTGCCCATCCAATGGCCGTTGAGTTTTCGACTGCTCCTGGTATCTTAAACGTCTTCCCTGGTATCTTAAAACGTCGTCACCCCAGAATGCTACGTAACGTCTGCAAAGTAACGCTCCCTTAAAAGTCCAAAAGGAAGGAGATGCCCGCCGCGCTGAAAGCGGAACGTTGCACCGTGTACCTTAGTATGACTGAGATCAGAGTCCCATCACGAGGATGGACAATCTCGGGGCACCTTAAACTCACACCCAAGGTGCTGCGCGGCCACTCTGCAATCCAGAATTTACGGAACCTGACGGTATACCGTACTCTGCCTTTGTGGTCGCATCGAACGCTCCCTCGAAAACAACATCTTGGGTGCGAGGTTAAGGGCCCCGAAAATTACAGTTGATCTTGAAGTGAACAAGTTGCAGCACGACGCCCCACCTGCCAATACGGCAGAATGTCGGTCGACCTCGACTCCGTCTCCTTAAGCGCAGTGTACACCGCCTGGATCACCGGGCTGTCTGACGTCAGCGAGTCGAAGTCGTAGTTGAACACCGACTTGCCGATGACGTCTAGAGTCAGCTGCGAAAATGCCGCCTCCATGTTGATCGGCTTGCCCGACGCCGCGACGCGTTCGAGCTTGGCGATAAGTTGGTCGGAGCATGCAGCGAAAACGGTGTCGACCATAGTGGAGAGGTACTTTCGGTGGAGCGACGGGGCAACAGCTTTCCGCCGAGTCTGCAGGTTTTCAGGCGTGACGAACAATTGAGTTGCACTCTGGGGACTGACAGTCAAGGCTGACGGCACCCAAAGGCGACGGGATTCCTATCAGATCTGCGCGAACAAGCAGTTGAGACTCCAGGCTTTCGAAAGGTTTGATCTACATTGAGCCCATTGTGGTTAGGGACAACAAGTAAGTATTTGAAATGCAAAACTCGATATATGCAAAACAGCCGAGAATCTGTGTGTACAAGGTGATGAGTTCTGGAACCAAGGCCAAGTTGATTGGGTAACCTCGCTCGTCAATGATTTCTCTTCCTTGATCTATGGTTCCTGTGCCTCTCCTTTGGATACAAAATGCTTGCCTCCTTCGGAAAGGAAAAGGGGAATGTTTTCCTCTAATCAATTGCATTGCAAGTGCATGTTTTTCTTCCTTTACCCCACTGATTCTCCTTCGACTTATCATTCTCGACCAACTAAGCAAGGCAGTGCAAAGAAGACTTAAATAAAATTGAAGACAAAAGGAGCCCGTGTCTTGCCTGCCATAGCTCTGCCTCAGCGATCGCAAAGCCGGACCCAAAGAGAAACTCCGACACCTCAGCCACGAGCCCCTTATGATACTTGGTTCCGTAGTTTCGCAACACGTGCTTGGCCGCCTGGGGCTCGCCAATGATCACAAAGTTACGGGGCCCTGCGGCCAGCCGGTACACCGGGCCCGTCTCCAGCATCCACCTGGAAAATGTGCGGCGACAGTCAAAACAGGGCCTTCTTGTTTAAAAGAAAGGAAATCCTTTGGGGGGACATAGAACAAAGTTACTCCGGCTTCTATATTAAAAGCGCCGTCCAGTCGAGCACTCAAGGGAACATTGGAGTCAGTACTGAAAATCTTCAGGTAATTAGGACTTGGAAACGAAACAGCATCAGGCCCTCACTGGATCTTTTTATGTAATAAAATACGGCAAGAATTGTAATATAAGGAAATCGGGCATGCTAAGGCTGCGTAACAAGAACCATTTTGAAGACCTCAGTAGGTAATTGATTTGCAGTACTCCGGCTCATCATCTGCTTACATGTGTAATGGGTGGAGGCAGACATACATTGATTGGTTATCACGTCTGAATGAATAAGCGACTTCTGCCCCCTCTCATCTGAGAGTAAACGTAAGGGCTCTTCCTTAAAATGGAAATACAGGTGGAAACGTGGTTCCCTAAGCAACAAGTGGCCTAAGTGCACAGAAAGAATACTCCCAATTCCGCTATGGACTTGTATAATAAAGCAGCTGGCGACTTATCTTTGCGGCTTGCCCCACTGTGAGCGTCACCATATTAGAAGCCAGAAAGTGAGCCGGATACATTTGATGCATCTCCATTTGAATGAGTAGCGCATGAGTTTTACGTCCACCTTTGCAGCGAGACTTTTTCATCTAGAGAAAGTACGAGCTGGCTGCGTTCGCACCATTTGAAAGAAGCATGTAGAAGCCCATTTGCAATATCTCAGTCTACTTTACAGGGTTCGAGCCAGCTTTCATGGTATGCCAGACAATCTCTGCTTGCATTGCGGCGCACCTGAATAGTGGCAGAAACAGCGCCCCCCCGAGCAGCTCCTGAACATCGTTCAGCTGCGCATTCGCGACCGGCACCCCTGAGTCATCTGGCCCCTGGAATGTGGACACCAGCTTCGTCAACCACTCCGGGCTGACCCATGAAAGTCCCGCACCCGCGGCATCGATTGCTTTACCCGCCGCTTCTTTCAGCGGTGCCTCTGATTCTGAGTCGTCCCCTTTCGCAGCATTGCACTGAACCGGACCGCGGCGGTGCGAAAAGGTCTTGGCTGGGCAATTTGAGGACGAGGGATGTGCTGTTTTAAAAGATGGGGAGCGGCGAAGAAGACTGGGGGTAGAACGGGACAAAGTTTGCTTTGAGTGGACGGACGTCCTGTCTGTTGTGACAGAGGAGAAGCTGAGGGGACCGGGGGCTGCAGCGCAGCGCGCGGCGCTTGACTGCATTGCACCTGGCGCGGTCCTGGCAGTCTCTCGAAACCCTGGAATTGGCAATGCGGCGTTCAAGAGGAAAACTGGCGGCTGGACCGCGGAATCAAGGCCTGTCTTCAGCTTTGAAGAATGCACAATTTTGAACAGCTAGAGCATTCTGTGGGTTTAACTAGGTACTGATACTGTTACACGTCATTGTATGACTTCTTTGCAGATCCAACCATGGCCATGCAGCCAGTCTTCAGCAAATGTTCAACCATTACCGGGCGCCGGTTCCTTACCCTCCTCTCAGCCCACCGTTCACAGCTTCTAATAATATCACTCTGCTCTTATACCCTGCCGTGCTTATGACCGGCAGAATATATACTTACGGCCGGTAACGGCTTTGAAACCGTCTCAACCTCAAGGGCGACGTGGCCATTTCTGAAACTGACTCAGACTCGAACTGGATCCGAGCTGAGCCTGTGCACAGAGATCTCAACATTGTCATGAGATCTCTCGAAAAGTTCCTTGAAGTTGAAGTTGGAATTTGCAAAGCGCCCCAGCTCCATTTTTTCTTCCTTGCCTTCTCCTTGGTTCCTTTTAGCCTCTTCCCTGGCTCCCGCTCCAGTGTTTGGTTTTGCACGCTGCAGCGCGCCAGCTGTTGTGACGTCTTCTGGCTTGATCCTGCAAGGGGCACAGCACGCTCCGGCATCTGCAATTGAATCAGCATGAGAGCTGTTGTGGTCGTCCAAAGTAATCCCGGCTTTATTTTCGCACACAGCAGTGGCCAGCGAGAGGGACCCGGTCATCGACTTTTAAGCGGTGCTTCATTGCCTGCCAAACATGGGGGCCGTGGAACAAACATATGCTGCGCATGTAGAAGGAAGCTGGTTGCCCCAGATTCTTGGGAAGTGCTTCAATTGCAGAGTCATGGACGGGACAGGAGGCGGAAGCTAGCAGGTTTCTCAGCCCCTGTTGCAGATAGGCGCTCGTTGAGAGGTGACAGCTGCAAAGTGCGTGCTAGAATTGCTGAACCTACTGGAGAGCCTGCCCCGATGGGGCAGAAAACGCAGTACAAGGACGGGCTGATTGACCGGCTAGCGATGAACCTTTTCAGGCGAAAGATGCAGACTGTAACAGGTGAGCTTACATCGTGGTTTGGGAGCGGGATGGCAGAGACGAGGACCGAGATCTTTGCGAAACTTGCCTGTAATCTGCTGCTGCATACTTTGACAAGCTGGAGATCGTTGACGACTTGGACATGGTCATGGGAACTTGTTGCAAAGCCCTCAATTGACCTTCATGTGAAATATTGAGAGGTGTATTACTCCAGGCAAAAGCCAGCAACTTCTCAAGCTGGCCTGTAATTCACGGACTCAGATGGTTACTAACCCTTATGTGGTTGTTCTGAAGGTCTTCAGCTGCCAGCTCTTGCCTCTGAAATGTCAGAGGTTTTGTTTCCCTTCGCAGTTCCCGAGCTGCGCAGGTTCCATCGAGCCTTGTTTCCGCCAGTTCCTTCAATCCAGTCTTCGTCAGTTCCATAAGAATGGAGGCAACCATGTACCTAAGTACTCTTAGAAACACTTCTGACGTGCCTCGTACTAATGCATGACATTGACTTCCAGCATTCTAAATACATTTCACATTTGCAGGAGCTCGCACAAAAGAGACAGGTTACGACGCCTTTGTCGACGTCAGCAAAGCCCTCATGCGAGGCAAATCTGCACAGGAGCAGCAGGCTGCTGTCTCGAGAGTCCTGCTGTCACTCATTCCCCGCCACCTACCGTACATAATCAGGACCTTCTTCAAGCCAACCAGGCTGTCCCTTGAGCTGAACGCCCTGTTCACACCGTCCATTTTTTCCTGGCTCGTGGGGCCTGCGGAGGTGAGGAATGGTCAAGCTGAACGGAAGTTTGACAATGAGAAACCGAGTGCCTCCGGAATGAGGATCGGTTCATAATGCGATGTTGAATTGTTGTGCTTTACAGGCTCTCCCTGCAACGAGTTCTGAAGATGCCGTGCTAGATTGCTTCATGATGGAACAATTTGTCCTTCTTGGGCCTTCTTGGGGGTTTGCCATGAGCATGAGCGCTTTGACGTTTCAGTATCTTAGTGGATTGTATGCGTCTTCTGTGATGCTTCATAGTCAGGTGCAACCGGTTTTTCGTTCAATATCCAGGGCACTTCAGCAGTTCATAGAGTGGACAGGTTTGTGGCTCGAGGGTTGCTTCTGAGCAGAGGAGATCAACCCTGGCACGATCTTCACAATCATCTGCCAACTCTGTTGATTCACTGAACGAACTGCAGGGAAAATCTGGACAGGCAGAGCAAACAAGGTGTCGACTTTGTAACAACCTCATTCTCCTGCTCTGCGACCGCAGGTTGTCGAAGTCGAAGTCAACGGGGTCAAGCAGAAAACGGGAGTGAAAATAAAGAAGTGCAGGTAGGATATGCCCTCCTCTGCTGTACTCCAAGCTTGTTTTCACGTCTTCTGAACGACTTTTTCCTCAGAACGATTTCCGAGTGTAGTTTTTGATTGCTCGAAGAATTTTGCAAAAGCGTCATTTGACAAAATAATTAGTTCCAGAGACGAAGGCTGCCAGGGTTTGCTCATTCGTTGGGCTTTAGCCTCCACAATCCAAGCTAACATGCAGCCTTTGTACGGCACATAAGGCTGGCGGAGTCTTGCTTTCGAGAGGACGGAAGGCTCTCTGGATCTGCATGCGGGAGGGGATTGAGATCAGCACTAGGCGTCTCTCGTAACTGCAGCATCTCACTTCACCTGTGCGCGTATCTCGTATGTATGCCTGGTGTATTTGGCCGATACCAGCCGTGTGACTTGTCCGGACAGTGACTAGGTCGTTGCTTTTTGACCATCTCAAGATAATCCCTGGCAGGTACTTAGAGGCCAGCGGGTGCGTCGGCATGTGCGTGAATGTATGCAAGGTCCCGACGCAAGACTTCTTCACGAAAGAGTTCGGCCTCCCGCTGACAATGAATCCAAGTAAGTTCGCGTTGCAACCACCGCGCCCCGAATGTTGTTTCATTGGGCTCGCGTCGGCAAAGTCGTGGTCCATTTCCTTAAAATGGATCGCGCTAGGGAGGCACCGTCAACCAGCTGATAGTAATGCAAACCCAATTGGTTTTTTGAGGTAACTCCCCACTGTGATATGCTGGATTTTCCGAGCCTTTTCATCCGGCACCCCTCCCTGTTTACCTTAACGAAATCCTTTCTCGCACACTCTACATGTGCACGAAGGAAGGGACGGGTCATCACTTGGAGTGGCTGTAGGTAGATTGCTGAAGCCTGATTCGTCCCCTGAATCGTCCGTCCCTGTGCCCCGTGTCTGCTTGGAAGTTCCGTTTCAAATCTGCAAGATCCGAGGTGGCGCTGTGGTTGCAGATTTTGACGACATGAGCTGCGAGATGGTCTTCGGGCAGGTGCCGCCGCCCATCGAGGAAGACAAGGCCTTCCAGCAGCCTTGCTTCGCCACCCTCTGTAAGTCGCCCTCCTACGAAGTTCGGCGCTCATTCGTCACACATTACAGGTGGATGTGAAGGTTCGCGTTTGCGGGATAGTGGATTGGATGGTTCTATGCATCGCTTCTTGTTCTCGATCGGTTCTGCACTTCCGACTCGTTTCAAATCTGAGTTCATGAAAAGATTCATCTGATTATTGGTCCGGCCTCAAAAATAACCTTGTTAAAGTTGCGGTGGAAGGTCACTTTGCCTGCTTCCAATTTGTGAAGTCCTCTGTTGCACGAACTGGCAGACGTTTCAACAGTCTCCTCGTGCTTTGCAGGCTCAATGGCTGCTGACGAGAAGCCCAAGTGTCCCAAGTTACTGACAGCAGAGGACGGCTTACAACTCCGGAAATGAATGATCGAGCGGGTTCGCTTTGAGAGTTTCTACGCGAGTTTCTATGTTGACATGCAGTTGAGATGGAGGCGACCATAATAGATTTTCGTTTGTTCCAATTGAAGTGACGGGTATTCATTCTCTATGATCAAATTGAGGTTATGTGCAATATTTGCTCGTGTATGAACTTATTCAGTAGCCGAAATGCTAATCCTGGTAGTCCAACTCTGTAAAATCTTGCCACCGTCGCACCTAGGTTGGACTCAAGCTCTTACCGGAACGTACTTTGTTGATCAAGAAATGCGTACTTAGGGGGTCAAATTCTCAAGTTGTACATGATATATCTGCTGGCACCTAGCTAATCATGAAATCGCCTCTTATCGCTCACCATTGTCGAGCTCGACGTACTAGCCGTGCACCACATGCGCCTGCCAGGCGTGAATTTAAATTATATTGAGCCGGATGTAAGCACACGTGGTAATTTTGATTGCATTCGATCATTTACGTGCAATTGAATGTAACTTATATAATCGTGGGCCAAATCATATAGCCCCGTGCATGCATATATACAATGGCGAATTAGTACATCGGTGTTACTTTGAGCTTGCATGAGTTGCAAGATATGCAATACAAATATGTGATCTCGAAGTCGATTGAGACTTGATCACACAGGTTCTTGCATGGTTGACACGTCCGTACCTCGGGGCCATGAATGAGCTACGTAGGTGCGTTTGCCAATCACATGCTGATATAGCTTTAGCTACTTCCCGTAATGTGTATTTACATCTAAGTTTCCTGTAATAATCCGTACTAGCTTTGAAAAGTTCGTTCATGCTTCAATGGCACATGTTGGCACGCCAAGCGGCTATACATTAGCAGCAATTAAACTACCCAGCCTGACTTCCTTGCTAAGACCACTCGAATCGTGCCACTCTGGGCAGCAAGTGGCGTCAATTAGTAACACCCAACCGCAGTGATCATGTCGTCCTTCGCCCTATTTCTTTCTTCGACACTGCTACTAAACCCGTAACTGCTGGTGCAAACATCGAATCCGGCACTACTTCAACCACTTTTCCGACGTAGGGCACCTTATGGGTGCCACGCTTGACGGCAATCGCGACCAGGGGTGTCAATACGCAGAGTATTAGGAGCTGTTGGCCCACCCTCGAGGCGACGTGCTTTGTGAAGAGCTTCAAGAACTGCGTGAACTCCTCTCGGTCGAGCTGGCCGTCCTCGTTATGGTCGAACTTCTGCATTTGCCAGGCGGGTGCGAGTTTTTACGACGGACTGATCCAAGAACAATAATAACCAGGAATAATTTCCAACTAAAACTTCCATCCTAACCAAAGAATTAGTGTGCTCCGCACCCGTGCCCACCCCAACTTCCAAACCGACCCCACGCGTCTTAGGCTGGCGAGCTTATTATTCCACCGTTTCCTAAGTTAGTTTCAGGGATTCAGTACAACTCGCAACGTGGAGATTGGAGCATCGGGTCCGTCCTTGGTTGCGATTAGATGACGTGGAACGTATGGGAACGGAGGACGCGTCAATTCAATTAAATTGAGCAGGGATCGCTATTCAAAAATTACGATGTGTGAAAAAGTCTACTGTACAGGGTTCAGGATGAATAGTTGCTTCAGAGACCGAAGGGGAACATTGAGTTGGCGGCAAACTGCCAAACGAGGGCTCTTGGGGAGAAAGGCAACTCTACCTTCATATGCCCTAATCAACTCTGCTCAGAAGCTTGTTTGAAATGTCAAATACACCAAAAACGATCAACTATGCTCAGGCTATGCTATTCGTAACGGAATGATGACTCCACCAAAAAGCAAACGTGTGAAGTTCGATAACGGTTCCAGAACGATGCTCTCTGAATATTCACTGGGTGTCTTCCGAAACACTCGACAATCTTCCTCACAAAAAAGGAACGGCTCTCCGGAGAAGCGACTCAGGTTGGTCTGAAACTGGCCCACCTCCATCGTTTCTGTGACCTTCTGCCTACTGGGTGGAAATGTGCTTTATTACTTTTTACTGGCTGTCTTTCGAGACTCAAAGTGACAAGCTTGCGAACAAGAGGAACGGCCCTCAAACAAGCCCACCTTCATCATTTCTGCGACCTTCTGCCTACTGGGCGGGTCGTTGTGCGGGCCAGGAAGCTTCTTGTTGAGGTCACTGCACCAGTAAAACAGATCTGAAATCGTTTCTTTGCATCAGAAGACGCCAATCAGGTCTGGATGAGACACACAAACCTGCTCTCAAGTCTGTGCGAATGATGAAGAGTTGCGGAACTCTTGAAATCGTCTCTCAGGATTTGCTCCTCGTGGCATTTTTGGATTCTGTTGTTAACCTGCTGATGATTCCAGCTGGTTTTTGGCGTTTAAACCACATAGAAACACCCGACTCTGCAGACAACGCGGAGTTTGTCTAGGTATATTTGGCACGGATTGGATGGCGTGATCCTGAGTTTTCTCTGAAGACATGTCGCTCCGTTTAATGTCTTTCCGTATGGACAACCGAGCAGTCATTGTGCGGGATTCCTTCATAAGCTTCAGGGCCCACTAGTAAATATGCTTTAGAACGACTTTCAAGTCATCTCGTGCCGAAACTTTAGTATCAGTAACCTCCTTTCGCACAAGTAGCCTAGCAGAAAGGACGACGAAAAAAGTTCCAAAAGGGCTCACTTATAGAAGAGGAGCACTGCTGTGTACAGCTCCATGATGTCCAGCTTTCCTGAAGGGGGCGAAAGCAGCTGTCAGATAAGCTTTGAAATGGCTTTTTTCAGAGGGATACGGTGAACAGGTTCCGGAAGGAACTCCCTGTTCTGCACCGGTACAAGCATCTCATCTCAGGCTCAACACATACCAGAGAGTGGGGACAAGGTCCTTAATCTCCAGAAGAGAATCAGCTTTTCTGTTGGGAGCTTTTACTCTCCCAAGCAGTTTTTTACTTGACGCAATTCTGCAGCAGCTTTCTCTTTCACGAGAAGGGGCAACATTGTTCACAGCAACGTTGCTCGGTCTCACCGTCCTTGTTCGCATCAGCTGTCTCGTAGAAGACACGGTCTGCCATCTCTTTCAACTTCCCATCCTCCAGCTGCCGATCTGGAAAAACAAAAACAGTTTCCTTGACAATCCACTGACAGAAACCGCAGCTTGGAAGCATCAGCCATTGAGCCTTGTGCAGTATTGGATCAGCAAGACAGGGGCTAGTTAGCTTGTCAGCAAGAAAGGGGCTAATAGCTTGTCAGCAAGAGAGGGGCTAGTGACGGCCAACGACTGAAAGGAGCAGTACTTTCTTGGTGTGCAACCTGGCTGCAGGCAGCAGATCTCTTTGCAGGTCTCGACCTTCAGACGAATGGAACAGGGGGACTATATTGTATGTAATGACCTACTGAATACATTCCCCATTTGGCCCCACCCTAGTTCCTGTACTCTGCGAGCGGTCTGCCTCTGTAACCTGCAAAAGCACTGCAAAGTCATCGTTGATAGTCATCAAAGAAGTTTGTGAGGAAGCCAATCCTTCGAGGGCAAAGATCTAAAGAACCATAACCTGGGGCAGTCTATGATAGTGATCATTCTCTGCTCCAAGCGGCTCCTGAGCTCGTGACAGTCCTCATGCATGGATTGAGACTCATACAAGATTGATGAAAGGGTGGTGTTAAGGTTCTTTGCAGATCTACTTGGCAATTCTACTGACACAGAGGATCTTCAAAAGGTGATCCCTCTGCGCATAAGATGTTCGTGACAGCTTCCCAAGCCTAGAGGAGCTCCTCCACATTGTTTTAAGACAGCATTTTGCACAAAAACATTCACCGAGGCCTTCTGATCCTTGCTTCTGCAAGAAAAGGGCTAGTGCGCTTGAATCAGTGAGTCGAGTCTGGAGAAAATCAGCGTGTATCTCACCTTCAATGCCGCTGCAAGATGGCAGGTGATGGCTGCTGAATTGACATGAGGAGAAAGGGAGACGCGAGGCGGACATTGAAATTGATCAGACGAGCTAGTCTCTTCCAACTTTGAAGTGAACCTGGTCCTTACTACTCAGTCGGGAGCGCAGCTGTTGACAATGATGGACACTTCTCTTAGAACTATAACTTATAAGTTGCAGCCCGTGCGCATCAAAGACAAAGGCATGGGTTGATCAGCACGTAGACCTGAGGTGGAAAGCTGAAACAACGTTTAAAGTACCGGGTTAACTTTGACAGTCTGAGCAGGTGGACTCCCTCCCTGTCTAGCTGGCCTTGGTTGACGCTGACCATGCAGGTTACGCAAGAGCGTTGGATGCCTAGTGCATGCTTCAACTTCAAGTTCAACTTCGTCTAGCTAGCTAGCGTGCATTTGCCCCGACGTAGGTACGTACTACGTATCTTTGCTAGTCTTACAATGTACGTCATCGATGACGTTAATACGGAAGTTGAAAAAAACAGTACGGACGTCGTTAAATCCTCGCGCGCGCGCCCGGTAGTATACAACCTAACGTTATACGTATGTAACTGGTTATACCGTATACGCACATAGGTACGCTGACAAGTCGGACGATAGGTAACGTCTACTGCTCTGCTAAGCATAAGCTATATACTCATACGCTTTGAACAAAAACGCTAATATACTGAAGAAAAACCAGCTTAGCTGGTAGAATTAATTGACGGTCTTTCTCTCTACCGGCCGGTATCTCTGCTCCAGAACCAGAAGTTTTGGCGACCAGCTCCTGGCACATCCACCTACAGGCGTCGCCGTAAAGCAGTGCTTTGCGCCCCGGGTCAGCGCTGCTGGTGTCTCAGATACTTGCAAGCAAGTCAAGCACTGGGATTGCAGCTACAATTGCGCTTGCAAAGTGAGCGGGGGGCGCTCGAAAGGCGCTCGATGAGCAGGACGAAATGCAGAGACGACGAGCTGCAGAGCTCTCGCTGCACATCGTGCATGGCAGTGCGCAAGTCAGGATTCTTTCATCTGAAGATGAAGCCACGAAGTTTGAGCAGAAGTGCTTGCTTCCTAGTGAGCCAATCAGGCGTAAATTAGTTTGTGCTCCAGAGCCTGTGTGTGTGTTGTGCAGAAAGTGCAGTCAGGTGATCTCCAGTGATTGCCACAGAGTTTGGGGCTGATTCTAATCTCAGAGGACCTGTAGAACTGTAGATAGTCAGAGGATAGCCACTACAGCTGCCTGCAAAGACCGCTCCAGGGGCTACTTATTATTCTTGCAGAAAGTTCAAAGGCAGGTCACCAATCAGGTTGCAGCTCCTTGGTCAGGCACAGGAGGCAGCTTCGATAGCTGTAGCAAAGAATCCATCATGCAAAGAGGCAGAGTGCTACTTGTCTTTCTGCAAAATCGAAACTACTTTAAGTGGCAGAAGTTCAGGCCTTCTGGATCCCAAGTCCTTCGAGATTTGCAGGACTTTCGAGACAAGCAGACACCAAGCAAGTTGCTCTGGGAGGGGACTGATCGAAGTATGGAACTGCTTGGAACTTGACAGCTTCGAAGATTAGAGGACATCTTTGCGGTGCAGTGATTCACAATAGCCAGGAGAATCTGAGATCTGAGAGGGCAGACACATATAACGAGGCAAATAGAGCTGGCTGATTCTTCGTTTTTCATAGAGCTTGAAGAACATTGAAGCCTTCATGGGCCAATGAATGGATAAGCGGACTCACCAGGTAAGATACAATGAAACACAAAGCAGTGGTACAATTGGAACATGAGTCCGTTTCTCTTGATGAGAAACGGACTCCGGAAAAGCTTGAATCTAGCTTACTCCATCGATGGTCTAGGATCAAGGGAGCTCCTCTTCGTGTCAAACGGCGAAGAAATTAGGGAAACGTATACTGACAGGTTTGAAATTGGAAGAGATTCTGTAGAAAACTTTGTTTGGATCTAGAGGCCAGTAGTAGAGAAGCTGAAATGCCAGGGCGACTGCGCAGCCGACGTACCACTACCGACAAATGCAAATGCGGCCTAAGATCCACCAGGTGTGCAAGCGGACACGATATTATGGATCTAAGTGCAGGGCATGCTCTCTATGGATTTAACGTACTGTCAACGAGTCGGCGCGTAGGATTGAGATTGCATGTCGCTAGAAGCACTTCCATTTGGGATCCTCGGATTGCGTTTGATGAGCGGATTACATGATGATATTGCAAGCGTCAAGGAGACCCGGTTGTCTTGCCTACGAGGGATCGTAGGGGAATGGGTATTTGGGCAGGCGCGAATACGAAGCTGGTTGGTGCCCAAGCAGAAATGCAGGGGACACAGAGCATTTGTATCTTGTGAGCTTGCACTGGTATTGTGTAGCAAGCTGAAGAGTCCCAGCTATCAAAGGATCGGTTGTGAGACAAAGGCTAGCAACCTTGCCAGCATAGAGAAGGCTCATCTCCGTTTGTAATCACTTCGGCATCCTTGGACAATTGTAACACAGCTTGTGTCAAGTAGAAAAGCCTTGGTCATCCTCTAGTGATACAAAATGGTCATCTTATGTCTGACATCAGTCGTGCATGGATTAGTTCATGAGTCCATCCGAGCTCGATGCAGATTAGTCTCCTGTTAATTACCGATCGTACAATTGAAGGCTCTGAACCGACACCCAACGTGTTGACTTCTGATTGATATCTAATTGCAGCATGTTCTGCGTCCAAGTGTATATATCTGCACACGGCATGTAGGTTCAATGCGAACTTGAACCACGAGCATCTGATATCAAAGTCCGTTCATGCTTGTTCAGAGGCCCACGAACTTAAGACTGCCGCCTCTCTTGAATGTAGGGTGTAAGCAGAGGTAGATATACATTGGCAACAGGAAGGCTTGTCTCTTTAGAAGGTTCTATGTTACAAGAAAGCACCACTGCACCTCTGACATTCTTCCGCATAGGCTGACCTATTCTCAATTAGTTGCCACAAAGCTCTTTTTATGCTACATGAAGATCTCGGCAATATCTGCAATGCATGCATGGGAAGATGGGCTTGAGCCAACGACCTAATATAGTTGTGAACCAAACCTAACAACAAGCTATCTTAGATGCGCATATCATCTGGCACAGATGCTCTTGTCAACTCTGGCTGTCCTCAAGTGCAAGACCGAGGCCTCAGCAGAAACAAGCAAACCAAGAAACAGGAGCAGATGGATTCAAGACATTGGTACAAGGATAACCGGACTTCAATGCATCAAATCTTGTCAACACACCTCAACCAGCGCAAAAGGAGACGCATCCTTACTCAATGGTCCACTGGATGCCGTGTCCTGCAGATAGTCTGGAAGTGACTCTTGAGCTGTTGCCACTCTCAGCAGAGTGAGCAGGACGCCTTCCATGTCTGCAGTGAAAAAAACAACACTCAAAACTCGTCTACAAGTTGAGGAGCATGCTCAAAATCCGGTGGTCTAACATCCTTCTCTGCCGCCTCACTTCTGAAAGGGTTTTCCTTGATTCAAGTGCCCAACGATCTTGACTGTGCCCTGAAGAGGATGAGCTGAAGTCGTTTTGATAAGGCATTGGAGCACACAGCAGCTGAAGTGTCCTTAAGTTTCTTCAAGAACCGACATGCTGCAGGTCGCATGCCCAAGAACGCTTTCTGCTCGAAAGCGGATTGGACGTTTGCTGTCTAGCACAGCAAATCACAGGTCAACGAAATGGGTAACCAGCCAGATGCATGCTTGGCATTCGTCGCTAAACATGAAGCTTCGAAGGGCCGTGATCCTTGAGTAGCATCTAGCTGCGGACTGACAAGCCCCTTCTACAGTGGGACACAAAGCTATGCGCAAGAACAACGCCCTGAAGAGTGTATGTATTCGTATGTATTCATGAATGAACCCGCAGAATTACTCCGCACAGAACGGCGTCTTTCCAGCATAAGCAATATAGAAAAATGCGTGATTGTCGAGATCATTTACCTTGGTCAGCAGCTTTCCTGCGCAAACTTTTTCGAGTGGCCCTAGCTCTCACACGCCCCTTACTTTGACCAGAATTTCCCGCTGCCGTTCTCTGCTCCTTGCTTTTCCCAACCCCCATGCTCTCATGCATTGCTCCCTTCGACGGCCCCTTGCCAGCAGCCTCGTCGTCCTCGTCAACATCTCTCTTCCGTTTTGTGCTTTTAGCTGCTGCGTCTGAGATAGCGGTGCTCAGGAGGTACCCAAGAAGTTTCTGGAGCTCGTGCAGCCGGCTTGCAAGTGTGCCCTTCTCCAGCCGGATGAACACACTGAGGGTCTCCAGGAATGTCTGCGAAGAAACAGACAAACGCTCTCAGTCTTATCATTAGAAGTAAAACCTGAGGGAGCTGCCTCAGAAAGGCGGCTGACAATGAATGTTACAATCAAGTGCAAGTAGGATCAGACCTACAATCTCTTCCTCTGAAGGATGTCACACGTCTTCACGCAGATGCAACCTACTGAAGATGCTCCATTGCTTATATCCAAGCATAGATTATGCTTCCAGCTTCTTTCAGAAACCAATGCGAAATTCAAAGATCACTTTTGCGTATGTACACTGCTTCATGTGAGAACATATGAGCTGCATCAGCACAGCTCCTTCACCTCCCTCACCTCCCTCACTGCGTCTACTTCAAGCCAATCGCGCACATGCACACAGGCACACCAGTTGTTTGAAAGGTGGATAGCATGCAGGCTTTCACCTACCTTTTGCTTGCCGACTGAATTGCTGGCTGCCTCAGTCAGAGCTGCTTGGGCATTTGCCAACCCTCTTTCCCGAATATGCACCCGTCGATCCACCATCCCGTTCGTGATTGACTGGATGGCCCGGTGCAGCGGCAGAGCCATGTCTACCGGGCTCATCCCCTCCGTCATGGCGTCCTTCAGATACTGCAGCAGCTCCTGCACCGAATATGGTTGTCCGATGTTGAAATCAAGATTTGTTGAGCTGCTGCCTCATGCAAAAGTAAAAGGTTTTGCATGGTTGCTGCTGTGTACTCTCTACAGTTCCTCCCAAGCAACCTGTTTATGACAGATACGGCGCAATTCTACAAGTAAAAACACAACTGATATTTGGAGTGTGGATTCAAGTTTGAACTAACTGATGTTCAAGCTGCCCTGTCTAATTCAAACCGAAGGATGCTTGCAAGAGGATGTACTCAGAGAACAGCAAGAGCTTCAGAGTAAGACAGCTTTTCTCCATCCCTGCTTACTGCTTCGTTCAAAATTGCATAATGTGGCTCACACTCAGCCAATCCAACACCACCTTATATGAAGCATTGGAAGGTAAAAGTTAACTCTTCTTTCGCCCCGCACCCTGAAAACCGGAATTTCTATTTACTTCATTTCTATTCTTCTCTCTGAACTTCTTTCTCATCATTAAAACTGACCCGGCCAATGTCGCCATATGATTGGCTGAACACGACGCTGCCGACCGCGGCCAGCGCATCCATCTTCTTGCCGCCCTCCTTTGGCGCCATGCTCGTTCGTGCGGCCTCCTACGATGTGACTATCGAGGATATTGCAAGAAGACTTGCACTTGCGCCCGCCAAGCAGACTTAGCAAGTGCCAAGAAGAAAGAAAACTTGAACACGCTCATGCAGACTCACGTTGTGGTGTGCGTGATACATACAATGGTACGTTATCATAACTTTGGACCCCGCTCACCCGTCGATCCAATCTCTGGCAATGTTTTTATGTAATTATTGCCGTCCGATGAAGGGATCATCAATGTTTGCGAACGCGCTGCTGCCCAGGACAGCAAGCCAATGTTCGAAGATAACCTGGGTTTCCAAGGAA